GACCAAAGCACGACCCGTCTCGCCGTCTATCATCGAAATCGCCCCCTGGTTGGGAAGTTTGGAGACTCGGTTACTCGAGTGGCGTTTGGGTTTTCATTCCTCGGAGGGGAAAACCGTCAATGAGGGCAACGCGGAACAACTCCGGACACGGTTTTGTGGCCGGGACGCAAATGGGCCAGGCTTCTTCTCTACCAAGGAAAGAATTTTCCATGGATCGATTCGGGCATGGCTCAGAAAATGGAGTAGCGCATCCGCTGATCCGCCCAGCTGAGATCGACGATCTGGTCACCGTGTTCAAACTTCAAAGCCGACTGTTGATCGCCCAACCCACCAGGCTGCGGGACGCGAAAAGTTCTAGACGCGCCCAGTCTTTACACGATATTACGCCGGCTTTCATCCAGGCTCATTCTTCGGGTAAGAATCAGGCTGACACGCAGGAATTCCAACGCTACGGCCGTCGACGGCAACTTCTTCACAGGCGAACTTGGAACAACCGCCACTCTGTCCACATTCATCGTATACATACGAGGTATACATGTGAGGGTCAGAAAGGGTCAGATTTGGCTGGGAAATTCCGGGCCGTTGGCGACCAAAAAGGGCCTGCACCGGGAAAATGGGCTCGAAATCTGCTTGCCGGGGGTCTAATTTGATGGCACACCACGACCCTTGACACCTCGTCCTGGGTTTTGATTCAGCATCCAGCCCGGTGTTGTTCGTCAACACAAGCCCACAGACTGCACATCGCGACCACAACGCCCATTAAAGAACCCCCCCTCTCTCTCTTTTCATGGCAGTTGAAGATTCAAGAAGCATCCCCCTCATATTGAGTGACATTCGGTCATTTCTCTCACGCCGGGTTCCTCCCTTTATTCCTCGGGCTCTTTTGGCTCCGATAGAAGTTCTAATCCTCGGGCATAACGAGCACAAGTTCCTCGCCGCTGTCTACGCCAGCTTCTCGGGTGGCGCAGTCGCAGGGCACTTCTTGCTCAGTCCTACGAGTCCTGTGTCCAAGTCGGCACCTGCGCCAATATTGTCCCGAGGTCCTGCCCCAAAACAGTAGGCGATGTGGATATCATTTTCCCACATGAACAATGCCAGTCTTGTGACTTTTCTAGGAGGTTCGACGAATGGTGCGACGGCTTCCACTAGATTCGAAAATGGTGCGATGTTCTCAAGGCGGTGCGTAGAGCACAAGGTGGAACGAGAGTGTCGTGCCATTTTATTCTGGGAAGGCGGCATGCCCCGTACCTGAGCCGTTCCCACCACACGAGATGGACTTTTAGCCCGCCGATTGCCCCTTCCGGCCTAGCCCTTGCCACCATTCAATACCAGACTGTCTATTTCATATTAAGGTGCTGCTGTGGTGCTGAGTCTGCGCGAGGAAGGGAGAAATGCTGAGATTCGGCTGTCAACATTGTCCTGTCGAGGCCATGACGGAGCATGGATCGTTTCCAGGACATTCAACGCAAACAGGATCTATCGCGAGAGGACATCGACGAGTTCCTGCGACAACGGCGGGACAACAGGACGCCCAGGGCTTGCTATCCCTGCCATCAACGCAAAGTCAAGTGCAACTACGTGAAGCCTTGTCAAACATGCATCGATCGAGGCTATCCCGAAATCTGCATCTACGATGTACCCCGTACAAAGTCGTTTCCCGATAACACCTCGACTTCAATTGCCGCCGGCACCACCCCCGCAGGTTCAGACGAGCCGGTAGCGGGACAGAAGCTCGCTTTGTTCGAGCAGACGCTGTGGAAGGTGAAAGATGACATTGATCGGGTCCTGGGGGCGTGGACACCAAGGCCCGAAGCGTCCACCGTCGGGCAATCGCGACAGAGTCCTAACAGAGACATGACATGGTGGACAAGCCAGGCACTTGGGCCGAACACGCGGGGCACTGGTCAAGCTGTAAACCTGGCACAGCATCCAGCGCAGTCTTCAGGTCTTGCGACAGGAAGTGCTGGTCCCACGGGCTGGGCACAGGATATTTCGAACCAGGAGATGCTCTCTATCTTTGCCCTGGAAAATCAGTCGGTTACCTACCCCTTCTCTGCGCTGTGGGGATTACACAATGAGCCATCCTCGAGATTTCAGAGTCTGTGCGAATTGCTCCCGAGCGACGTCGACTGCCACAGCCTCTTCGGATGTTACAGCGAGACTGCCCACGCCTTTTTCCCAGCCATTCCCGACCTCGATCAATTCCAGAACGACCTGAATGAATTCCTCACCCGACGATCAAACACCCAAGAGACACCACCCGACCCAGACCCGGAACCGCATTCGGGACTGGGCGTCAGAAACCTGCATTGGCTTGGGCTGCTTTTCGCATGTCTCGCTTCAGGCTGTCAATATTCAACCCTCCCGTGCGAAGAGCGTCGCTGGAGATCACGGGTATACGGTAATGAATTAATTAATACCTTCTTTCTTTTCTTCGCTAGTTTCCCCCGACTGACTTTACCTCGCAGTGTGCTGCGCCTACGAATGCTTGCGATCTACCAACTACCTCGGGTACCCCACTATGGTCGACGTTCAAACCATGTTGGTCATTGCCGATGTCATGGCCAACAGCCTCGATGCCGGTGTTGCATGGTGCTTTGAGGGTAAGATGCTTTGGGCTGCACATTATTCTTAAGAGAACAACGCTGATGAAGGCTAGGATTGACCATCCGGCTGGCACAAAGTCTCGGACTGCACCTTGAAACCCCTCCCTCCCCATCAGACAGCCTTCAGAGGCTCCGAAAAGAACTATGGTCCGTCATATCCAGAGTCCTTACCCTAGTGTGTCTTAACTTTACAATAGGTGGCGCATCATTTGGCAAGAAAGTTCGCTCGCCTTAGCTTTTGACAGACCTTCGACACTCCAGATCCAAAGAACGAGCGGGATTTCCGGCTCCAGCGAACTTTCCTACGACGATTGCATGAAGGGCATCTCACAAATCGGCCTCGAAATTGTCCGGGAGCGTTCTTCCAGAGTAGCTGGCCAGTCCAGCCTTGAAGACATATCACGATATCAGGGGGTCCTTAACGAAATGTCCCAAGAGGCTTCCCCGTATCTAAGGGATGCGACTCTTTGCCACACCACCAAAGCTCGGCTCGAATACTGGAGCTTCTACTTACACCGGTCGTACATAAACGCTGAACTCTGTCGGACGCTTCTTCGAGACAGAGGCTCCAGTCCCGACGACATGGATAAATACGTGCGATACCTGAGCGGTACGATCACGGGCTTCCTCCACCTGCAGGTCATTGCCCCGGCCGTCAAACAGTCTTCAATCTTTGTGCAGCGATCACTGAGCTCGGCTTTGATGTTGTGCACCATGGACGATCTTGCAAGAACGAGGCCGGTGCAGTACCTGGTCGAAAATTTCATTTCAGTCATGGAAAGCGCCTGCACCCACTGCGCTGAGGCGCACTTGCCCACCCCTTTCTCGAAATCCATTGCCAAGCTACGTCAGATGGCATCGACACGCTGGAGTTCTGATTCTCCAAGCTTTTCGAATGTTCCAGGGTCGACAGAGAGTCACGAAATGATGAATTGAAAGAACTATCAAGATTGTTCGGTAATGCTTACCTACTACTATTTAACGGTCGCCGCGCTATCGTACTGAGAGTCGGTTGACCGCCCGCAGATCTGATTTGCTCGAGTCCAAAAGCGACCGTTCATGAGGTAGCTCGTTCCCCAGAGGTTGGAAATGGTCACACCACCTGAGGAAAAAAAAAGATTCCTGGCTTAGACTCTACAAGTACAGAGGGAGGGAGTTGCCCAGAAATGGCGCCCACAAACCACTGGTCCGGAAAAGGTATGCGGTGACAGTCCCAAAGGGCTCCGTGAAACAACCAAGAGATGTGCATTATAGAGTGACTTGACACATGCTCCCAGCATTGCTATACTATATAATATCATCATCCTCCTCCAACTCAACCCACTCCCCGTTCTACCTCAAACAATCTCTCTTTTGTTCCTCCCCCCCACCTTGACCGAGTGGCTGCAATCAGCTGATTGAATTCTAGTACTAGTATGGACAGAAACAGCCCGGCTTTGCGACTCTCTCGCACTTGTTGACACCAGTCGAGCACCGTCTGCGATGTTTTACCCTATAGAAACATTCGATCACCGATCTTCTTGAAGCACAGAACCCGCCCGCTTCGAGGATTACCGTCCGCTTTGCGGGTATCCCAGTCAATTTGGCACCAAAGATCCTTGTGGGCTGGACCCGTTACACCGAAGGCTACGTATCCTCAAGGCTTTTGCGCCTCTCTGGACCGTTCATAGCCATCAGTGGCAATATAGGACGTCTTGAGGACAACATCCATGTTCTCAGCCATCATGATTGAGATTTAATTCCCCGTGGTCCCAGTATGGATATACAAGGAATGCTCATTGGCCCATGCGAAAAGAGCTACAGCCTGACTGGTCCTGGTCGCCGAAGCCGCCGAAGTGACCGAGCAACCCGAGCAAGCCTATCCCAATTAGGGAATGCTCTCAAGCAAGTGAGCAAAACTAATGCATGACTGGTGGAATTGCCAGGAAGATGGTTCCAAATAATAGCATTGGTGGATATGCCCATGCTGGTCCGAGACCGTGCCAGTCTACTTGGTACTTCTTACAAGTCTTCCGCGACGAATACTCCACTTCCAGCAACGCACATGTTCACGGCCTCTCGCCCAGGGTCGTTCGTCCGCGTCTTTTGCAGTCTCTTCTCTGATCCGGCAGTCGCCAACCGAAGGTACCTGGTAAACTCTCGCCGCTTGGCTCCTGGTTCGCTCGGGCTTCTGGCCAGCCCCAAAGGTCCAGGGAAGTTCCCTTCGCCCCTCTCAGCCAAGCTTGCAACTGACGCAAACGCTGATCGTGAAGACCATGTATATCAGCCCGGTGATAACGGTTCTCTCCTGAAGATATCAAAAGAGTCCCCTTTGAATCCGTTCACCCAGTAAATTGTCCCCAAAGAGGTCTTCCACTTGGGGAAACCATCAATGTTTGTATGGACTATATGCCAATGTCTGCCCACTCTCTCGTGGACTTTGGCATTAGCAATGTGGTGGGTATCAATTACACCCCAAGCAACCCCGATGTCATTGTCTGGTATTGACAACTGAATTTCGTCTTGCAGCCGTTAAATGACATTGACGTCTCGATATTTCAGCCATTTATCCGCCACGAATATCTGAAAGACCAACCTGGTCCTTTACTGCGACAAGAACAACATCTGCAGCTACATAATGCGACGTTTCCCATCGAGCCGCTCGGTACAGGGGCAGGGCCTCCCTCACAGTTTCCGCTGTCGCCACCCATATCCTTTGATGATTACGAGACGCTTCAATCCACCACTCCGGAAGATTGTTACCACGCAAACTCCATCAATTTCGAACAACAGGCCTCCACCGGGGATGGTTTACCGCAGGATTGCCAGGAGCCAGACTCCCCTACGCTGAATACTGTCGCGGTGTCGGCCGTCAATTGGTCAGAAGTGGTACCATGGGTCTCGACTAAGCCGCCCTCACGCGGCCGTCCAAGGGGATCCAGACGAAAGTTGGCAGCCCGAAATGCAGATTCAGTGGACGAGACCGCGTCCAAACCACGCGCCAAAAGGGGAAGGAAGCCTCGAGTCTCACGACAACAAACCTCCAAGTCATTGGCAGACGAGAGCAATAAGGCCTCACTGGAGGAAGCCAAGGCGGCTCACTCGGTCGTAGAGCGCCGGTACCGCGATAACCTCAACGGGAAAATGAGTCAGCTGTATTACGTGCTCAGGGAGGTGAATTCTCCCAGCCCGCGGTCTCGTTTATCAAGCACAGGCAGTGGTGGTAGTGGTGGCAGCAGCGGCGGCGGCGACATGATAGCAGTCCCTACATTCCAACCGCCCACCCGGGTCCGCAAGTCCGAGATCCTCAACAGCGCCATCGACTATATTCACCAATCGGAAGTGGAGATGAGGCACATGGCCGACGAGATCAAGCACTTGCAGGACAAGGAGCGGACGATCAAGAACCTCGTCAAATGCGAGGAGTGGTCTGTGCTCAAGGCACTCCTGAGGGCACCAGGGGCTGTCAGCTGTTAAGTGAGGGTAATCGACCGCGTGTGAGGGAGTAAACCACCGAGGGTGTCGATCCTCAAAAAGGAGGGAATAAATATGCAGCCGCCTTTTTGCCCTTTTCTTCTCCTTTTGAAAGCCTGAAAGAAATTGCGCGTTTGTAAGGTGGAAGGGCGAGAGGGCGCGAGCAAGAAAAGGGGGAAGTGAGGTGGCTCGGCCTGACATCTTCAACACAAGGCTCATTGAGCTCAAAGAAATGGACGGAATGAATCTATTTTACAGGGTCACGGGCGAAGGGCGCTCGTGTAGGTGTTGTATCGGGTCCTGGGTTTGAGCATTGAGTATACTGAGAGGGGAGGAAAGCGAGATAACTGGTAACCCCGTACCTCGTACGTATGTAACTAACTAGGTAACTATGCCTTGACGGCCATGATGTGTAGTTGACGATGGTGATTGATGCTTTTCTCTTCGTTTTGGCGTGTCTCCTCCCCTTCCGTCTGCCTCTCCCCTTGGTTAGTGTCTAGGAGGAGAGAAAAGGGGCCTGGTGGATGGGGGAATGTGTTAGTCGTACATCCCATGCATACCTATATATATATGTATATATTGTAACAGAGCACTTCAGGGGTGCGGCATGCACGTGCAACAACGCACAGGGGCCCGTCCAGCAGGTCGGGAACCGAGAACGCGTTTCTGGTCGGCGCTGACAGAGCAACACCACCACCAACACCACCCCCAGAGAAGCAGCGGCTAGGGTAACGAGTGCCTAGCACGGCGGCAGCATCAAGCAGTGGGAAAGGACCGCTAAAACACTCAGGAACAGGTAGATGATATCAAAAACATAGAATACTCTGTTCAAAACTGTAAAGAATGGCCCTCTGCCAGCTCTGTGAACTGTCATGACCTCTTAGTCCTTTTTGGTTTGACATGTGACCAGCCAAATCTCCTTCCTGCTCCCCTTACACCAGTCCAAGACCAGTCCAACACAGCCACTTTGCCCTTGTTACAATATATATATATAGTAAGTCCCTTTTAAAACAAGCATATACCTCCTCTATAGCCTTCTGTGCCTTCCTGTCTTGAGTCTCTGCTCTGGCCTCGCTCAAACTCCTCTCTTCTATTCCTGCGAGTCAGCTTGGGCCTCAAGGTGGCGAGACAGCCCCCAAGTCAGCCGTTGCGGTCTGGCCAGCCGTTTAATAATAGGCGGATTGGTCGCCAAGGGGGGGTTGCCGAGGCCACCAGGCAACCAGGCCACCAGGCCACCTTGTTCGGAGCAAGGGTCCGGCTTTGAGCTTTTTTTCAGGGTTTCGATTTCGAGGTCCGGGGTTCTGGTGCACATGTCGTTATCATGTAGCCATGGGGCGATCGAGCGCGGCGAGGCAGGTAGATTGCGTCTCTGAGGCATAGACTGGACAGTTCTTACCTGGATTTACGGTCGACAGTCATGTGCAAGGCATTCAGGCCGTTATGGATAGACCGACGAAACCCTCACGCAAGAAACGCACAACCACCAAAAAAATAGAGCAAAAACAAGATGGAGCAAGGAGAATCTGGTTTCATGATGCCATTTCCATTCCAATTATCTCTTTCAGAGGAGCACAATTCTCATCGCATTGGACCATCCGTTGCAGGACCGCTAGTCTGCTCTTCAATCGAAAGATCTCGTCCGTCATATGCCGCATTTCTAGTTCTGATTCGTTAATGTACTGCAATGCATTGCTCAAAATGTCTGATTTTCGCGCCGGTTGCTGCTGCTGCTGCTGCCGCCGCCGCTGCTCCTCCGACTGCCGTGGTGAATCGCTGTCGTCGCTGCTGCTGCTCATCCGGCTCGACCCCTCCAAGGTGCGGTGCAGCTGCCACATCTTTGCGTTCAGATTGTTCCTGTATCTGCGCTCGATCTCGGTGTGTGCCTGCTTTGCAAGCGCCCCGTCGGGGTCCTCGCTGTCTCTGGAGTTCGCCCTCCTGATTTTGGAGACCCTGTGCGGGCGCGTCTGATCGACAGACGCGGCCGTCTTTGACGCAATCTTTCTGGGCTTGTTGGTCGCGCACTTCTCGCGGCTCCGTCCGCGCCTGGGGGTCGGATCTTGCGTCCTCTGCGGCAGTCTCGTCGTGGTCGGGACACAATCTTCGATTTCCGAAGTGGCCGACGAGTCACAAAGAGATGGCTCCAGATCGGGGAGCTGATAATAGTCGTTGCTGGAATCGCTGTTTTGGGCTTCGAGGAGATTGTCCAGGCGGTAGGATTGCGTTGGCCCCAGCACATATTGAGGATAAGGTGTGCTCTGATAAAAGAGGCTTGAATCAATGGTGTCCCAGGGATATTGAGTTTCGTGACTGGTGAAATATTGCGGTGATTGGGTGAAGTCGGCCGGGTTGGACTGGCAGTAGGGAGCAAGAGAATGGGACAAGCATCCAAACGGCTCAGCCATTTCGCCGGTGGGCAAGGTAAAGTTGTACCAGTCGTCCATGTCTATCAGGGAGTCTTGTTGGGGAATGATAGGATCCATTGGTGAGGTGAATGAAGCAGTGACGGTGGTGATTCGATGTGGAGGATTGGAGTGTGGGACTTGTAGATCCGTGGCAAGAGGGAGGGAGTGGGTAGGGTGTTATATAACCGAGACCTGGTAGCCATGTTGGGACAATGTTGTGCAGCGTGTTGTCGGTTGGAGAAGATGCAGATTGAACGTGGTAATTACCCGGTACATAGGGTCGGCTGTGATGGCGGGTTGCGGACTGATTGAAACTCGGAGATGACATGACGCCGACGCAGGCGGAGGCGCAGGCGCAGGCACGCAAAAGGACGATCCGGACGAGCTGCTACCAGCTTGGGGTTTCGCGCTTCACGGAGCAGGCGCGGAGCTACGGTCCTATGGTGGCCAGTCCCCTTCAGATCATCGGGTGCGGATAATTGTTATTGCTTGTTAGGTAATATACCGAGTACGAGGTAGCTCCTCGCTCGGTAGGGAGCGAGGCAGCTATCCTGCTCGCCAGCTAACCAGTCCCTACCTCGCTAATACCCAGATCTGGGGGCTCTGAAGGACCCGCTCCGACCATGTGCGCTGCAAGTCCGAGCCTGCGACGTCTCCTGAGCCAAGCCTTATGGCTGGCTCCTCCCAAGCCCTCCCCCCCGAGCTTGTCCCAATCCTGACTGCCAGCGCCTGTGCAATAATATTCGCTCGGGCCACCCCGGTTCTCAACCACACCACCTCCCCCTCCGAAATACATCCGAGCCTGCCCGAACGAATCACCTCCGGCATCGACTCGAATGCTTCAAAAAGGGGCTGTCACCCAAGGTATTGCTGCTAATCCGAGGAGGAAAAATGCAAAAGAGTAGGGAAGGCCGAGAGGTTCTTCCAGAATCCAATTTTCGTTCAATTGCAGGGGAGTGGCCATCATGGCTTCTATAATATTACCCCAAAACGCGACACAAAGTTGCGTCCGGAATAGCGAAATCGTGCAAGAGACATATAATATCCTTCACCTCAATCCTCAGACCGGAGAGATACCCTGGGATCCCCACAAGATCTTCTCCATCAGCTCATAAGGCGAATCCTCAGAACGACCAGCGTCATCCCCAGATGCCTCATTCGAAGGGTGGCCCCCGTACAGAAGGGCATCCGAACTGGCGCTTCGATCCCAACCAAGGATTCCATGGCCAGCCGCTCCGTACTCTGTGTCGGCCTCGGCGCCCTGGTGTGCGTTGAGCCGCGCAAGGGCCCTGACAGCTCGCGAGATGGGCGCAGATACCTCGGTGGGATCCAACGAAGAGTTGATGCTCGACATGACCATAATCAGCTTGTCAAGCAATGTCCGGACACGTGAATCGTTCTGGGGTTGTTTCAAAATCCCAAGCAACAGCGCCGAGCTCAGAGACCGATGCACCGCAGCCCAGGATTGAGTGGCAAACCGAGTCACGTTTGACAACCCCAGAAATGCATCCACCGTGTTGGCCATATTCTCCAAACATGGGGCCCGAAAGCTGCTCAGTTCCGGCGAGGCATGTCTGCGTTTCAATGCTGACCGATACAGTTCGGACAAGATATATGAGCGATGAAGGTAGAGGTTCCAATGTTCGAGCTGATCCCTCATCGACTGGCATGCCGTGGCGTCTTTGAGATGTTGCAACGAGTGCTTCATCATCTTTGCCAGTTCCTCCTGATGTCGGTTGATCCGGGCGAGTTCATGCCGGGGATCGGTGTGTTTACTCCTCTCTCGCACAATCTCAAGGCCGGTCTCACACAAGATCTTCATGCAGTCGGTATATGACAACCACGTGTTTTCGGCGGACTGAACTGATTTGTGATGCGAGATGGTAGGAGTCGATGATGCTCGATCAAAGGTGATCGAGATAAGACTGTCCTGCCACACAATCCGCCACCTACATGTGTGGTCAACCAAAAGAAAAGAACGGGAGGGAGCCGATCTGGAAGTCGCTTCCACCTACCAAAGTTCCTCTCGTATGGCCCTCTCGGCGTCTGAGCTGGTCCGGAAGGTCTTCTGATGGAGACCAAGGCTCTGTCCAATCCGGATGGTCAATCCTAATGTGTCGGTCAGCACGGAATTTCGCACCGGCATCATGGACCACAGCGGCTGGAGAGGACCGGCACCTACCAAGCAGGCACCAGGCGATGCCGGAGTTCATGTTGTTGGAAATGACGTTCCCCAACACCAACAGAGTCTGGATGTCGAGCAATTTGGAGTTGGACAAATAATTTATGATGCGGAGGCATTCATATGCACAGCACACTGCACCACTGTAAGCGGGCCCATTGAACAACGAAGGATCTTCTCCTAACCGTATACTTGACTAGTCAATTGGCGTTCTTTCCGTGGCAACGACGAGCATTGATAGCCAGATGCGAGGATGGCGAACAGCAACCCTACCCAGTGCAGACTTTTGCCGTAAATGTTGTCATTGGATAGCGCCTCGTAGGGGGCATCCCTGGTTACGGCAGCTTTGTTGATGAGAAAATGGGTGAGTTCGCCCTCAAACTGTTTGACGTCGACCACGCCGGGGAAAAGAACGTGGGCCGTGTCTCGGTACTGTCCGAAGAATTGGAGGCAGTCGGCGTCGGTGGGCAACAGCCTGCATAATGCCTGCAGTCTGGCATAGGATCCGTGAGGTAAGCCCCAAAGATCAACGAACGGGTAAGTGGCACTCTCGTTATCCAGGCCGAACAGAGGTAAGATGCTCTTGCCGAGCAGATCCTGAACATCATACTCGTTGGGGTCGCTCTTCAAGGCAAAGACCATGGCTGGCACCGAGTTACCACCCAGATGGACCGCCTCGCCGGTGACTTCGTTGGCCGTGTGAATGGCGAAGTTCTCCTGGTCGGCACCGTCACTGCTCGAGTCTCGTCCCGCTCCCTCAGGCCTGGACCGACCAACCAGTGTCGAGGGAGACCCGTCGCGCCCTGCGAGATCTTTCAACTCGTTTCGCAGCTCTTGAATGGACTGTTCGATCGTCTGCAATCTCTCGCTGATCCTGCTCCATCCCGTGACCGGACCGTCGTTCGAAGCGCCGGGTGGAACCACGTTGCTGGCCGAAGCGTCGATGTTTGCTCGTTTCGACACGGGCTCATAGACGCAGAGCTCAGGGTGGTTGCGATCGATGCACTTTTGACAAGGTTGTGCATAGTTGCAACCAACTTTGCGCTGCCGGCAGGGATGGCAAGCCTTCTGTCCTCGCGCCTTACGCTTGCGGCGCAGACGCTCGTTGATTTCCTCCTGAGTTAAAGCTTCAGTCTTTGGCCGTGTCTCTTCACGTCCGGCCGTTGCCTGGATTTGGCCCCGGGTCGGATCCATGATGACAGAGCCGTTCAGGAGGATTCGTGGCGGACCTATCAGAAAACCACCAGATTCAGCGAAAAAAGCTGGGGGAGGGGCCGCTAGACAAAGTACTATCCCTCGAGTGACTCGGCTTGCCAGATTTAATCAGTTGAAAAGGCAGCTTTGGGGGAGGTGCGAGCATATGCTTCTCGAAGCCTGAGCAGCAAACCGAAGACAACGACGGGGGATTTCTGTTTTCGGTGAGGGTTCGGGCATCAGCTGATATGGAGGAAGAATGCAGTGCCATAGGCTCCTTGGCTGCGGAATCTAAATCATGCAGCAGCAAAAGGAGCGAAAGGAAGGTGAAGCGGGCAGAATTTCGGCGCTGTCGGCGGCGTCGGGGACCAGATGGGTTTTTCGTCCTGCCCCAGTTAGCCCCGTCAGGACTCTTGACCGCACAGGGACCAGAGGCACCTCGCTAAATGGCCAGAGACCACCAACCACCAACGTCCAACCACCACCGACCTCCCTCCTATCTCCCTCCTCCCGGCACCGCGAACCTACTCCTCTCTCTGTGATACAAGGGTCCTTACCGAGTATTTAACAGCGCAGATGGCCCCGTTCGGAATGCGGGGCCAGCATCGGAGCTCATCCCCTTTTCTCAGCCCCCAACGTGAGAAAAGCGTGAAGAGGGCATCTCCTCACTATTTGAGGGATGCTGGCCCGTGCTGGTTATACTTTTTGAATGTGCCGCTGCTGCCGTCGCCACTGGTCACTGAAGAGGGACTCACCGTGGTTTTACTGTTGTTGTGATCTGGGGGAGCTGCCGTTGACCGGATGCCCGTGGCTGGCTGGCTGGCTGACTGGCTGACTGGCTGACTGGTAGGCAGTTGCGTCAAGAGAGGCAACAAGCAGGCTGTGACACCTCGCTTATATTGACAGTCTCTGAGGAGGTACAGGAATTCCATCCGGCCTCTCTCAGGAATCACGATCACCATCGCATCTTGACAAGCTCCAGAGCTTCTGCTGCAGGACTGGACTGTTCAAAAGGAGCATCTTGCATGCCCAAAGTTAGTCAAATATGACCTGTACCACTCGATCAAGTGGTGCAACTTGACGTCCGCTACCCCTGCGCTGTCGCTATCGGACCCTGATCTACGCCGTGCGTTCTGGCAAAGCAGCATCGGTCGGATTATGGCGAGTTGTCTGTGCCGGCCGGCCGGCCTCGATATCGACGACCTGTCCACCGCTTGAACCCCCAATCCCATCATCGCCCTCCCGCCCCTCAACCCCCAGTGGATGTATCCTTGCATGTTCTCTTCCTGCGATTCTGCATATCTCTAGCCAAACTATTCTTGCCACCAGATGACGAGTCTATTGAAGATTGGCCTGCAAATTGACAATATCCAGGCAAGGAACACGGCAATCCCGCATCAACCACCGGTCAAGATCCCCACCTACCTTCGGAGCGTATCACGGTCGTGAGAAGATGCAAGATCTGAGTTTGTCGGCCGCGCAGTTGGTCCGTCTGAACGCTTCGTTTCAAGCAAGCGTCAGATACCAGCCGATGGTTGGAGAGTCTTGATGTCATGATACTGGAGAAAATTCATCTTTGCGCCGGTAATTCAAGCCGAAGACGACGTGACCCTTTTCGGCTGCAGGATTACAATCCAAGGCCGGTGGTACTTAGAAGTGCACCTGGACACAACATGCGTTGGATGTGATTCGTACCCAAAGCAGAGACGGTTCCTTGCCAAAAAGAACGTTCGATCGAGGAAGGGGCAATTTATAGGGGTGGTCGGTTCCGGACCCTGTGAGAAGAGATAGCCATGTTGAGGTGGAAGACACACGCCCAACATGATGCTGGTCCGTGGGAGAAAATCCCCAGTCAATTCCCCCTCCAAAGCACGCATTCATCGGTGAAGACAAGCACAGCTCTCCCAAACCTGTCGCACATGTCAGAAGCGCCACCAGGTCAGAAATAAACTGGGGAAGCGAACACTACAACCTCGGCTCCTCTTGGGTGGCTCCAATACTCCTCCATATTCCGACATGGTGGTCTACTGCGATGGCATTTCACGGCCTAAAAGAGGGAGGGGATGGCAAATAACGGCAACTACATACCACTATCGATATCGAGTCAGCAGGCGGAAGGAGCACTATTGCTCCTCCGGAAGATGTTGCTGCTTTTTGAGTCATTCGGCCGTCCACCCATCTGTCCATTGATCTCTTGATCCATCCATTCAGCCGTTGAGATGACGAGCACAGACGCATGCATGGACTGGGCGCCCCCAGCGCCACGAATACCTTGGTAGGTACGGAGTACTCTGTACATGGTCTGGTCGGCCATTAGGAGGATTGAGTAGACAATGGACAGAAGAAACAGGATATGTGTGTTCCCTATTTCTTACGAGGTACTTCCACAGTGAAAGGGGGAATCATCGAAGGTGGTGGGAGACTTCCATACGCACCGACCAATCAATCACCCTCGGCACTCCCCTGGGAATTCAGGCTTGAGGCTTGAGGCTTGAGGCCCAGGACCTTGAAGAGTGCCGCGTACTTGGCCTTGTACTCTGTACCTTGTACCTGACTAACAAACAAACAGGTAGTTGGACTTCTCCGTCACTTACCCCATATGCATCGTGCTCCATAGCGAGCGACCATTATGAGTCAGAACGGCGCAAGACGACCTCTTGGCTTTGTCCTAGTCACGCTTGGCTTTCCAGGTCATTATTAAAGGCAACCTCTACGGGGGTATGGTACGTATTCGTACTCGCACATATGTCCATACTATTCCATAGCGTTCAAGGGACGCATAATGCGCCATTTTATGATGAGCACATGGCTAGGCCAGGCCAGGCACCAACCGACCCCAACGGGGTAAAGGAGACAACATACAAGCACCTATTAAGCAACCTACGGCGATCATGGGGACGGACAAGGCCACCACCGCTGCTACCCAGTCCATGCCGCCTCCTGGGTACGTGTTTGGGAGTCATCAGGGACGGCAAGGCGAGCAAATAATCGTTCTCGTCGCTGTGGAGCCGGACTGGAAAAGGATATGTGAGTACCGACATGGACTGAGCATATAAGGGAAGCTGAGGGTGTCTGCCTGGCCTAGCCTGCCCTCATCCGAGATTCATTGTTCAGTGTCAACCTTGTGTATACACCCAGAACCCACTGAGCGAGGTGTCCTCCTGCGTTCGCACATATTTCTTTTCTTTTCGTTGTCGAAGATTCGATTGCCTTGGATCGTCTCCGGGGACCCGAGTCCTGTTCGTCCTCGCCACCACCGCACACAATAATCAAGAACAACATCTTCAACGAGAAAAATGCCTGCCCCGATGAACGAGAAGTCCAAGGCCGTGAGCACCGAGACGGCGTCTATCCAGAGCACTTCCACCCTCTCGAGCCTCAAAGCGCTCCTGCACACCAAGGACAACAACAAAGACAAGCCGCGGGTCCAGCCGGAGACGGTGGAGCAGAAGACCACCAGGAGGGAGGCGGCCGCTGCCTATATGTCGATGATGAGATAGGTTGCAGCAGAACGGGGAAATGGCAGAGACATGGAGGAAAGGAGAGGATGAGGGGGAACAAGAAATGGAATCGTTGTACCGAGTAGTGAACGCTGGCATGACGGGATCTAACAGGACGCCAGCAAGTACAATCTGGATCGAGAATGATCATAGAATGCAATGTTTAGATCGCTTGCCTTCTCCGGCTGGTTGCCGTCGACAGCGCTGCGCATCTCGTCGCGGCGTTTGGGTACAAGACAATGTTCCGGCAGTAATATGCATGATCTGGCCGTCATTCGCTCCCGGGGTGATTGGGAGAGACGGGTCAGGCGCACCGCGTAAGCTCATTGCTGTCACCAGCCTTACGGGGCCGCCTCACCCCTTTTCCAAACTATATAAAAAGGCGCCGACTCCGACTTGTTCGTGTCGCATCACCTGCTCTCTCGGTCGACTATCGTGTTGCATCGGAAATAGACATCGACAGCGCCTGTGTTAAGGGAAGGGGAGTTTTGGCCATGGTTGAAGTGTGTTCACTCTGCCCGATGTTTTCGGCGCTACCTCTCCCCTCGAAAGCGGAAACATGATTAGCGCCAAGTGCATTACCCAGAACCCCGTGCTCGGGGTCAATTGACGGCCTGGAGAGTCCGCCTACAGAACTTCGGCCGAAGCTCTGAGAGTTGGATTACCAACATGGTCGACCTGTGTCGGAAAGAGATCGTTTGCTAATTCCGCTGCTTGTCGAGTCGAGGGGGTTTCGCTGGTCGATCTGCTGCCTGACCAGGTTGAGCCGCCCGGAGAAGCGACATGCAGTTCCATTGTGGCTGAATGGCCGAGACGAGGGAGACGAGAGCCCAAGACCTGGGACCCCAAAGCCCAAAGCAGCCCAAAGCAAGATTCTTCTTGGATCAAGATCGGCCGAGCCATCTGTTATGCGCGAGGTTGCATTGTGGGTACCGCTTCGTACAACCCCAGGTCGGCGAACTCTCTGAAACGACGAAGCATCGAACGGGATGGAGCTGGTCGGTCCAATGAAGCTGGTCCATCTAATCTAATCGTCGTTCAAGCATGCATTGTTGGTTGTTGTCTCGCGCTTTCAGTAAGGCCGAAGGTCCTATGTCCTTTTTCCAGCAGGACATGTCGGGTGCAAATGGATCTGGCTTCCGACTTTTCGATATATCAATAATCCAGGAGACGGCATGCAGGTCGAACTTGTCCCCTTTTTTTTGGGCCAGATCTCTCTTTCTCTTCTTGTTCCTGTCAGCGTTGAGTTGAGTCGAGAGTGCCGCAGCCCTTCCACTTCGCAGCCCAGATTCGTTTGTACGATAGGCCAAACCCTCCCCTGACGGACCAACCCCCTTGATCCGTCTCAATTGCCGCCATGTCGCAAGATCTAGAAAAGCAGATACCCGTCCAAGAGGAGCCGGAATTCGAAGCGCAGGATAACCGCGTCGAGCCAGATTCCAAAGATCTCTCGGCTTCAGCCACTGAGAAGTCGTCGCTTGAGCAGCCTACGCAGAATGAGCCGCCCAAGCCGCCCAACCCATGGATGGACCCGACTTCATTTCCCGACGGCGGTGCTCAGGCCTGGCTCACTGTCGCTGCTGCTGGCGCCTGCTTTTTCGTTTCTTGGGGGTATGTGTGCTTCTTCCCGTGGCGTCTGGCGGTATGGTGGTGCTAACAGACATCTTCTGCCAGGTGGATCAACTGTATCGGTGTCTTCCAAGACTACTACATGCGCGCCGAACTGAAGCAATATTCGCCCAGCACCGTTGCCTGGATTCCGTCGCTGGAGACATTTTTCATGCTCGCCACAGGGCCCGTAGCCGGCTTCATCTTCGACAACTATGGCCCGACCAAGCTTCTCATTGTCGGTAGCTTCTTGCACGTGTTTGGGTTGATGATGGCCTCCATCTCCAAGGAATACTATCAGTTCCTCCTCAGTCAGGGCGTGTGCAGTGCCATTGGAGCCTGCTGCATCTTCACCCCGGCCGTCTCATGCGTCTCGACATGGTTCTTTTACAAGCGGGGCATGGCCATCGGGATTACCGCCGCAGGCAGCTCTCTCGGCGGCGTCCTGTTTCCTATCATTGTCAGCCGCATGATCGACGAGACTGGGTTTCCGTGGGCGATGCGAACCTGCGCATTTCTGATTCTGGGCCTGTGCACCTTCGCCATCTTCACTCTGCGCTCGCGGTTTCCTCCAACCCGCCGTCCGTGGAGCATCGTGGCCTTCATCCGCCCGCTCAAAGAGGTCCCGATGATCCTGCTCACTCTCGCCACATTCTTCTTCTACTGGGGCATGTTCCCGGTCTTCTCCTTCGTCACCGCCGTCGCAAACGGAAGAGGCATGTCGCTCGAGCTGGCTCAGTACCTCGTCTCCATCCTGAACGCGGGCTCTGTCTTTGGTCGAACGTTGCCAGGATTGCTGGGAGACCGGGTTGGGCGATTCAACGTGATGACCGTGTTCTGCACCCTGACAGCCATCCTGATCCTGGCTGTCTGGATTCCGGCCACGAGCAACGCAGGTCAGCTCGTGTTTGCCCCTTTGTTCGGGTTTGCTTCGGGTGCTGCCATTGGATTGACGCCGGCTCTGATCGCACAAGTGTCCCCGATCAAAGAGATTGGCGTGCGTACGGGCACAGTCTTTGCAGCAGGTTCGATAGGAGCCTTGACGGGTTCGCCGATCGGGGGACAGTTGATCACTCGCGATCACGGCGGTTTTTTGTACCTTCAGCTGTGGGGCGGCTGTGTTTGTATTGTTGGCTGTTTCTTCTTCCTGGCGGGTCGGATATACCTTGGTGGCCTCAACCTGAAGAAGAAGGTGTAGAGAGAGGTGTGTGCGCCGCTGGGGGCAGAAGAGCGGTGAAAAGCCATGGCCATCCTCTGTGACACATGTATTAGCGATACCGATAGACTACCTCCACTTCTTCAAAAGGACTCATTGCATTTGGCACCTGTCTTCTCCATGGATTGCGGGTTGGATGAATCCTGATTGTGGCTGGTGCTTGCTCGTGCGGCCGGGTGCTGACATGCCTCTGTCAGAACTGCGGTCCGGGGGCTCCAGGGGCGATGAGGCGCAGTCTCCCCCGCTGCCGCCCTCCACCTCCACCACCAAACTACGCCTAGTCTTTTATTATCAATCATGGTCAGTATTGGTCGGTATTGGTCAGTGCGAGGTACTGCCAACTCAGAACTGTCTCAACCACCTCAGCATTTGACTTTTCTTTTTCGTTTGCAGTCGACTGGCCAACTGCTTATCTATCGCAAATTCCTCTCCTCTCCTTTCCCGTCCGTCCTACCCAGAACGCTTGCTTGGAACCGGCCTACTTCAGCCGGTTCTGGACTTCGATGTAGAGCGTCGTCGTCCGCCTCGTCATCTGTACTCGATGGGTTGGCTGTCTCGCAGGATCGGTGGTTATGTGGTTGGAGCGAGCGTTTCATCGAGGGCCAACTTGCGCCTCTCGATCCGCAAACTCATGGATGGGCCCGGTCTGCCACAGCGAATGTTGGAACCTTCCTCGACGTGATCGCTGTCGTCGGGGTCGTCGCCGTCGTCACCCATCTCCTCGTCTTCGTCCTCTTCAGATCTCTCTTCATCATCATCCTTCTCGCCTTCGTCGACCAACTCCTCAGCATTGGCTTTGCTCTTTCCCTTACTGGTTTTCCGCCACTCGGCTGCAAGGCGAGCAGCCTTCTCCATGTCTTGAGCTTTGATGGCATCAACAAAAGAGGCCCCCAATTTGGTAAACTTGTTGTCCGTTTCCCCCGAACGTTCCTTGACTGCAACAAGCTTTTCGTGGCCGGTTTGTATCTCTTTGAACTTCTTGCTCAACTCCTTCTTCGAACCATCAGCTTTCATGGCATCAGTTTTGGCCTTGGCCGCTGCCATTCTTGCCTCCAACAACCGCTCCCGCATTTTGACCCAACTGCGATAGGACTTCTGAATCTCGAGGTCCCAGATTGGCATTTCAAGCTTCTCCAGATGATTGCCAATCATTCGGGCGGTCACGTCCGTCCAGATGTCAGGCAAATCAGCCTGCTTGACACCCGCCTCGTCCGCATGCCACAAGACAACAGCGATTTTGACCATGTCTCCAGGGACACATTGAGGTATGCTAACGCTCAACCACCACTTCTTGAAGGCGGCCTCTTGCCGCGGGTGAAGCTTCTGGTTGTTTCCGGGTTGAACTCGGTGGTAGGCCCATACACCATCAACCCAGCGAACCGGGCGTTGACGATGTTGGTGTTGGCGCGCTAGACCTCGAAAATCAAGCTCTCTTGCACGAGGTCCTTCACATCAGCCCGATGTCACACTGCGCCTCGCGGGTGAAGCGCCTGGCCTCAGGAGCTGGCGACATTTACAAGTACTGGCAAGGTTTCCGGCAAGAACCACCCTTGCACAGATGTTAGCAAGGTGCGGCGTTGCAAGGATGGTTGCCGTGATTGTCATATTCGGTTTCGTGACATCAGGGGCCGGTGTCTTGCGAGGTGTCTTCAACGACCTTCAAGTCCTCCATCTTCTGCTGCAACTGTCGATTCTCCTTCTTCAGGTTCAAGCTATTTACTTGTGCTTTGTGCCTTTTGGAGGCAGCTTGACGAAAGCTACGTTGGACAGGTAGGAGGACTGAGTGTTGTGCGGAGGGCGGTTCACAACTACTGGAGGGAGTCCAGGCTAACTGATTGTCGAGGATATCAAAGAATGACAAGCGACGCTCGGATTTGATGGAGAATGGATGAAAATCAGAGCATGCAAGGACCACTTGGAAGGAGGAAAGGTAGGAAATTCGGAAAAGTGATACTGCCTCAAAACACCGCGAAAACGCCAATAGGGACAATGGGAGCAATCCACTCGCTAGATGTCACTAACCACTACCTCTTGGCTGCTGCAGTGCTATTGCCAGACCTTCAACACATTCACTCCGATTGTGCAGCAGTGGCACTGGCACCTTCCTCATTTCCACAGCCTCGCCGCTAAGCTAACGGCAGAATGGCTGTGGCACTACATCCACAAAGAGCTACAACACAGCAGCATGCGGCCTGAGAGCCATAGAGAGAAAAAGAAAAAGAAACGTGTTCACAAAGGTAGGTCCGATTCTTTGATCACCATCTCCGAAGGTACTCATTAATCACCTAAGCCAGAGTTCCGAAGAACAACTAAGTCAAACCACAGTCACGATGTGCAGTGTGAATGTGGAGAGTCCCGAAGAACCGCTCTTATGCAAGGCCTGGGTAAAGAAGGCATTGGACCATTCTTTCCACTAGGCTAATGACCCTACCAGGGCAGTCGACAATCACTTCGGGACTAAATTTTAATATATATAAAACAAGTATACACATTAAAATGTGGGGCCTAAATGGTTGTCATGTGATCTAGGTACGTTACACATGCCTCGAATGACTGCTATATCGTGACTGCTTCACATCTTCCTGTACGCAACTATCTCTTCCCGTCCCTAGGCGATGGTGCTCCGACATCGAACCCGGATCTCTTGCAAGCATCCGGGACGCAAAGCCTGAGCGGAATTTCAGGTGAGGTCTACTCTCTCCATTCTTCACGATATCTTCGAAAATACAACCCTATGCCTGGCCTAGCTAATGATTTCTACTGCAGTTTATCGTTTCCGCCTCTACATCATCTTTGAAAGTAGTTAGGCTCCAGATCTTACGGTCCTAGTTGGGTTTGTGACTGACCAGCACATTGACCTTCGGACTAACATCGTTCATTTCGCCAATCGCGAAGCTTATTCCATCTACCGCATTGGCATCATCGCCGAATCGACGTGTCCAAAAAGGGATCTGTGGCGCCAACCGGTGACCGAGGTGAAGAGAGCTCGAAGAAGCAAATGGTATCCACGCCTGACATGTCTGTGCTACCAATCGGTGCATTTCCCCTTTGCTTCCCCTCGCCCAATGGTTCCATGGCACAGCCAACAGCAAATGCAAGATATTGAAACATTCAACATCATTGAGGCTGGCACTTTCCCATTTCAATGACGAAAGAACACAATGTGACTTGCTCAGCGCCCGCTGAGAGGTTGGCGCACGCGTGACTGCGCTAATTTGGTTACGAGACAAAGGCCAGAACGCAAACCTGGGGCTTTTCTAATCCCAACCCTTACTCTCTGGTACGCGGCAACACTTCCTAACGACGGTAGAATGGGATTTGACCGGGGTAATCATTTTGGGGGGACTTAGAGAGAGATTACCGCATACGGATGTTGTGCTAACACGTTTCAGGCAACGCCCCCAATCGACAAATCGGAGGTGCTCGCGATCTCTCTACAAGGCCTCGCGAAACAATTTGATCCTCGCCGCGGGTGACGGCTGTATTGTTGTTGGCACAGGCGCCTCTCAACGCCCCGTCTGTTTTGTGAAGACATTTTACCTCCCAATCCCCATCTTCACCAATATTCTGATGCCATGTGGCTTGCGACGTCCAAAAGTCAAAACATGTTTCGAGGATTCTTTCCAGCCACTTGCATATCCCTTCAATCCATCGCACCACCACTGGTTCACGGCGGTTCCAAGGCAAAAAGGCAACCTCTCCTTCAACCCCGGACCCTGAATGCCTTGTCCACTCAGGGATAGCTCCACCCTCTCAGACGCGAAACTCCAGGCGTTCTCCGGCTGTATTTGGTTCGAAGCCCACTTGGTTCTGCCCTCGTCCGTCAGGTCCCTTGGAACCTAACCGAATCAATGCCACAAATAGAGTTCCATTGGATGTTGTCTCGCGATTCAAAAACTCCTCGTGACGGGAATTTTACGTGCGCGGCAACCCAGCGCCCATCCGTGGGCTGTGGGGGCTTGGTTAGGGTTGGTTAGGGCAGGCGGTGAGTGATGGCCGAATTATGGTTGCAGTAGCGGGTGGTTCTGTCCGTTCCAGCTTTCACACAGTTATGTGGAGTGCCTGTTGGTTTGCCTGAGCGCCCAACATGTTCCATCAGAGTCTGGTACGGTCTTCGATGCTTGACATGGGCCTAGTTGGCACCACTGTGTTGGAGAAAAGACCAAGTACTAGCGGGGACACATCCTGCATGTCAGACCTCACGGATCCGATCTAGCCTAGGGCTATCATTTTGCAAACCAGAGTCGCAAGAAAGTCGACAGCCCAGATCGCACCCTACCAGGAGACGGCAGTGTTTCTTAATGGCGACGGCGTGCGAACGCCGAAAAGATTGTGTCTGGAGAAGAGAGAAGTGCGAAAACGAAGAGTATCCACATGCAAGAGACGACGGTATGGCGTTTGTGATCATGGGAGACCAGCGGATTTTGGAGTTCATGTTCTCGTGGTGGGACTGTATGATAATGCCCTTACGAAGGCTTTGTTGTCGAGAGCCCCCCCAAAGCTCTTGATGTTGCCCGATTTCTTTTTCACATTCCAGAAAGAGAAATGTCCGCACAGCCCCTCCCAAGCTGCTTCTGCGCGTCTCGTCGCCTCACTCTGGTTTTGGCAGTACAATGGACATGCAGCCCAACCGAAAGGGAAGGCAACCTTGGGGGGACTCTGGGGGAGATTGTCGGCCTGCTCTGAAGGGCTCCTATAAGCCTCTTCCCTCGACCACCGCTGATGGAAGCACACACACTCTCTCTCTCTCTTGTAGACTTTGTTAAGTCTACTCTCTCTCAAAGCTCCTCAAAGCTCCATCCTACAGTCCATCAATAAAGGCACCTCGCAATCCACAAAGGCACATTGCCCACTGTATCTGCATTCACTCCACTGTTGGCTGATTTCTCGACAAGAATGGCAGGGCCTGCGAACGAGGGTGGTCAAATGCAACGACCCCAAAAGGAGCGTGACGGTTCACGACGCAGAAGGGATGACAACTTTGTCCCGGTAACACCAGAAACGAGGGACCTGGAAAGTTGTGACAATTGTTTCACTGGCCATCGTAGAGTGTGTCTGCCCAAGGGATTTGAGGACCTGGACTAATGGTCATTTTTTCAGTGCCGAAACAGAAGACCCGGGAGGAAGTGCGACAAATGCTGTCAAACAGGCAGGTATTGCAGTCATGAATCGCGTCAAGGGGGATCGAGCAAGACAGCAATTCCTGGCCGAAGGCCCCCTTCGACTAGCACCGATCAATCGCCCCTGGCAGAGGCTGGACAGAGGTGTGTCTCATAAAACAACGAATCTTGACGGGGAATGAAGCTGACATTCCCTACAGTGCCCTCAACGGTGCCGATCCAGGATTTACTTCACCGAATATCGAGCAATACACACCATACTGGTCAGGGGGAACATACGGAGAGCAGTTACAAGTGGAAACCTCTTTCACGGTACCCTACGCGCCCGCTCACGTCTATGGCCAGTACCCGAACATGCATGGCAACACAGGCGGTTCTGAACAAAACATGTACGCTGGTCACACGAATCTCCATCTTGGCTATGGAGAGCCAGAGCCCTACCCGGTTGATGTCGGGATGATGGCAGGAAACAGGCAGAACGAGCCGGGCGAAGATGAAGGGGAAGACAAAGGGGAAGACGATGAAGATGCCGAAGCGGAGGAGGAAGAGGACGACGACGATGACGAGGGTAGCCTAGTAATGGTGTCCGGAAAACCAGTCGCTAACCCGAATCAGTATAACTGAAAAAGAAAATGAAAGAAAAAAAACAAGAAAAACCAGGACAAGACAAAGGAAGGAGGAAGGAAATGAAGCATGGAAAAGGGGACGTCATCGGCCCGTTCGATTCGCATTGCCTTCAACAGGCATTTTTCAAAACCACTATGTGTGGGTGGAGGGAGTTAGCTAGGTAAACGTCTCGTTCTTCTTTTCTTCTTACCTGTTGTTGTTGGTGATGATGATGCCGTCGTTGTTATTGGTCGTTTGATATCCTGGAGGCTCAACGCTGAACCAGTCGCAGCACACATCGATTGCATCTCTTTGTCCGAGTAGGTTAGTTAAAGGAATTGAATCTGAATTGGAATCTGAACCTTGCTCGTCCGTGTCAGATTTGTTTTAACCTCTTAAGCCTTTTCTTTCTCGATCGCGCATCCGACGAGAGTGTAGACAATGCTCATAACTTTTGACCCCCCTCTCTCTCGATCGATCGATGCCTCTATCAACCCAACCCATCGAATTCACTCCAGACTGAAGGTACCTACGAGTAGACAGATGCACAGGAAGCGAGCGGTCTCGGTGTGCATCCCATATTAGTTATTCAAGTTAACCGACGCGCAGTGTTGGGTGATGGCGCAAGGCTGCAGAGGGCTAGGGGGGCCAAAAGCCTTGGGGGTGGGGGGTATTAGGTACATACGGCCCCCTAGAACTGTTGCGACTACTGCTAGTGGGCCCCCGCGAGCGGTACTTTAAGTGCCTATCTACAGTATAATACGGAGCACGGGGCATTAAGTATAAAGTTTAATTAATTATAAACTCAGCTCTGGTTTGGGCTTTTGGCCAAGCATCCGCGTTACTTCTGCTAATGTTTGGGAGGCGATCCAGGCCTCCGGATACCTATCCACTGTTTCGAGCACGAGCAGGTAGGTAGATATATTCAAAGGTAGGTAGATATCAAATCTAATAATAACGTCTCACCACCCCTACAAATCCGGCCGTCTTGCGGGGCTGTGGCGGCTCTTTTCCCTTGGGTCAGTTTGCTTCTCGCTCGGACGAGCGACGTTATCGGTGCGTTATTAGTGTGTGCGTGTACGGGTTTCCTTTTTCAGCGTCGCCCGGTGGAAATACTTCTCCACGACTGCTGAGAGCGGCCTGTACTAACTCTTAGTAGTCGTTGTCAGGGTGGTAAGTACGGACGTGTGACTCGGCAGCAGACCCTGCATATTGATTCCACGCATTACACAATCTAAGATGATTCTATCGTACCGCCAGTGTCCACCTGGGAGAGTTAATCGCGCCGTCTGTGGTTGCACCATCTTGCTTGGGTGGGCGCACTCCATCCGTTGACCTTTGAACGACTTTTCTCACTATTATAAAAACACAAAGGACGACATACCCACGTTTTGGCTAGGGTTCGCTCGAGACACTCTTTGCGAGACACCGAGTAGTAGCACAGAGACGTCTTGCGGTCGCAATTACCCCTGCCCTCAAGCAACCACCCACTCCTCAGCTACACGATACATCATCTCGCTTGTGAAGCATTCACATTCATTGGTATGGACCCTCGCGTCGCCGCCGTGGATGGATTCACCAAGACCAACCACAAGTCCGTCCCACCTTCACTCGACCCGGCGACCGTTAGATTGGAAGATGGCTTCACGGTCTGCATCATCGGTGCCCTCCACCGGAATAGGCGAGCATGTCGCCTACAGCTTTGCTCGGGCCCAGGTAGCAAAAATGGTCATATCGTCTCGGACCATGCGCGACTTGGAGGTCGTGGCCGCCGAAGTAAACCGGATCAATCCCCTGGGCGAGATTGATATAGTTGAATGCGACGTCTCAAAAGCGACCTCTGTAGAAGCTCTAGCAGATTACGTGAGAACCCATTGCGGGCGATTGGACGTGTTGGTCCTCAACGCCGGCTACGCCGGGCCAGTAATCACGAAGATGAATCGAGGGAGCCCGGAATGGGTGCAACGAGCCTTTGAAGTCAATACGCTGGGGACCTACCTTGCTGCACATTATTTGGTTCCCTTGCTGCTGCAGACGGAAAACGGAGCAAAAGGATTTATGGCGATTGGCTCCATCGCGGGTTGCATCAGACGAGGGCCGATTGCGAACACGGGCTACACCGTCAGCAAGTTTGCACAGATTCGGTTGGTCGAGTATCTCCATGAACAATACTCTGAGCAAGGTTTGGTGAGCCTTGCGCTACACCCGGGTGCGGTCATGACGAGGATGGCACGCGGGAATACGCCGGAAGAGTTCTTGCCTTGTGAGTTGTCTTGCTCTATCTAGCTGTCTGGCATACAGTCTTCTGGAAAGATGTATTTCACCACTGTGCATGACTGATTTGCTCCCACAGACATGACAGATGAGGTTGATCTCTGTGGTGCAGTCTGTGTGTTTCTCAGTAAACAGATCAGGGATCTCGGTTGGCTGGGTGGGAGGCTGATCTCTGCCACTTGGGATATGGAGGAATTGATGGCCAAAAAGCAGCAGGTCGTGGAGAGGGATTTGCTCAAGTTCACCCTATTGACGGAGTGATGCAAATTGGTGTCATAAAAGGTGAAGAGAAGCCAGCATCATGCAATTGGAGGGCTTCAGGAACTCGTATGATTTTTGGAAGAGACTGGGCATGATCCTCCGCTAAGTCCGAAACAGCAGGTGATCTGCCAACTTTCTTCATTGTGCTCTGCAGGTTTGGGATGACGATGCAAGGTACCAGACGTCAGTGCCAATCCCGTCCTGTCGTGTGCAAGTTATGGTGACACACATTTATACGATCTGCAGTGTTTCCAGACAGAAATAGAAATCAGCTGGGCTAGACCACAGACCGACCGGCCATATAGAGCGGGAGAGGGCGTGTGACCGAATGGCCCCTCTAAATCAGCAAGTTGTTCATGCGTTGTTCGAATGCAACCACCCTGGCCTAGATAACTCTATCCGGTAGCAAGGAAAAGGTCAATCGCCGGGTTGTCCAGACGGGTGTTATCGTCAGGCTTCCCTGATAGACTTGGGACTTTGTCATGCGTTCACACGAAATCCGACATGACAGGATTCGCAGAGCGTTGTCGTAGGAAATATTCGGTGAAACAGGAAGTTGAACGTAACAGGGTGTTTCACCTGGCAAGCCACTGATGCAGAAAGCAGGATGCATGACGCAGGGCATGGAGCTGAAAGACGATCGACTTGAAGGCGACATGTCTCAGAAACCCGAATCGAGCTGGTGGAATGGGTAAAGCAACACGGGACAAAGGCAGCCGATGTGGAGGGCGGATGAAAAAGGCTGGAACCATGATTAGCTCGGGTTGAAGCATGGCCAGAGAGCTTGGGTCCGCCAGCGACGCCAGCGACGCCAGCACCACCAGAGGGAGCAGAGGAAGCAGGTTGTTTTGGCCAGGTTCCACCCACCAGCTGTAGGTGGCAAAAACGCCCAGCTTCCTTATGAAACATGCCGCAGGTGGAAGAGGCTGTTTCTGAGAGCAGAGGCGTTGTACTCGGTAAAGAGAAGACAGGCGAGATACCGAGTCCTCTGTGCCCCGGAAGCATGTACCTCGCAGAAAGGTTGGCGTGGGCGAGGGAAAGCTGAAGTGAGTGAGTGAGTGAGTGGGTGACGAGAAAGACCAGATAGAGATGTACTGTAGCAGGAGAGCAAAAGTGCATGCGGATACCAGCCTCCGACGGTGGCCATGGTGGACTCCTTGCCGACTTTCCGCCCAGCAGGAGGGCAGCGGCGCACCACCAGCTCGGGCCAGTTTACCAGCGAGCCCAGCTTACCTACTGGCTCCCTACTTCGTACCTACTCGGTACCCAGGTAGGTATTGTTGCGATGTTCCAGGCTGTTATGGGCATCTCGCATGGGGGTGTTTTAGCTGCTCGGCTAGCCATTGACTTTTTCAAACATCGCCCACGTGCTGCTTCGGGTCTTGCCCAGCTTCTCCAAGCCCAATGCCATCAGCACCTGTGCCCTCTGCCTGTTACCTACTTGCTTCAGCCACATTATTTCGGCGTCCGAGGGGACAGTTAGAAGTACTTCACCCTCGGTACAGGGCGTAGACATTTACTTTCTCCTTGCATCGCCCTCCTCCGGGAAGCAGTTGCCAGACCATCGATCGATGCGCACCCGTCCTGTACCGCATGACGGAATACTCGCGTGTCCCGCCCTCGCCCGCAGCTGATCTGACAGGGTTCCCACGCTGAGAAGAGGAGGAAAACCCACACCCCCAAACACGTCTGGTCGGTGGGCGGCTCACCTGGCTGGGTGGCTATCATCAAAAGCCACGATTTTCCCTTTTGCCTGCGCAACCTGCGTCACTAGTGGCAGAAAAAGTCTCTTCACTGGGACGCCACGACTGCGTCCTCCGAAACTTCCTCACTCAGCGTTCCCTGGACACTGGACACTCGGCGGGAAAAAGGGCCACAAAAGCCAAACCACGCCTTTAGAGCCCTCTGCACCAACCTTTTTATTTATCCTTCGTCTTCCACTCGTACCACTTCTCGTTGTCACTCACTTGTCACTACTGCATCTAGTACGAACTTACCTTTCGCTTGGTTCGTCTCTTGTTTGGTTCTGCGATTCTCAGTGACAGCCATGATCGGCCTGCGAAGAGCCTTCGTTTTCAGCACTTTGCTGCTGGGCGCCCTCAGTTCGCCTGCGCACGTTCCAGAAGATGACAATGCACTGATCAACTGGGACGCGTTCCAATCGTTACTCGATACCGTCGATCCTGCTGCCCTGCATTCCGTCCTCCACTCGCTCTCCCCCAAATTCCAAGACGGTGTCTTCAGCAAGGACCGTGCCGCCATTGAGCACGTCCACTCTGAGAACCCCATCATTGCAAGCAAACTAGTACACCTCGCAAAGAAGAGGCAGACCAGCAACTCAACCACTACCGCTTCGACAACACCCTCCACTCCCGCGCAGAGCAGTGCTGCCTCAGAATCAAGCTCCCGGGCAGCAAGTGTCTCTTCTATCCTCTCTTCCGCCATCTTCGCTTCAACTGTACCAGGAGCCACAACCGTGACCGTTCCACCAACGGCACCGCCCTCTGCAACTCCGGTCGAAACTTCTGATGGCGCTGTTGTCTTCAGCACATTCGGGGGCGGCCTGGTGACTCTGACCTCTTCGGCGTTGAGTGTCCACTTTACTCCCAGCACATCCACCCAGCTTTACTACGCGACTGCCGCAGATGGCTCAGTTCGGACGTCAACATCAGTGGTGGTGGTCAATGCACCGGTGACGGATAGCGGTGATGCTACTGGAGCTGCCGGCGCTGCAACTACCACTGGAAGCCCTGGTTTGCAAAATGGTGGTTCCTCGATAAGGATGGGAGGTCTCGCTCCCATCTTTGCTGGTCTGGGAGGACTGCTCTTCTTTGCGCTATAGGCAGAGTTGGGATTCAACAGCAAGTCTCGCCAATGCGTTTCCTGGCGGCTCATGTGACTTTTTTTTGGTTTGTGGTTTCAGCGCAATAACGACGATACGGCACCGGCATTTCTCTCCTTTAATCAGCAATCTGCAACGGGCATAGCCTTGGGCGTTCAAGCACTACCTCTTCAGGGTTGGCTTTTTTTTTTTTGGATTTTGGCCGGCGATACACAACGTGTACATGAAATGGATATTGGTAAATCGGGAGGATAGAATGACTTGGAAACGAGGTGAAGGACCGCGGAGACTGTGGGACGGGGACACATGTGGTGGTCCCCAAGATAGTGTCTGGACGTATAAGGACATAATCAGATTGTATCTGTCACCAAGAATGCAGTTTCGAATTGTCGACCTTGTCCAACTGGATACGACTCTTCGCGTCTTTTCTTACACTCGCCCCATTACGTCTCACCATGCTGACTCCCACATGATCTTTCCCATTCTTTAAGACAGTGTTAGACGGCCATCTGGATCATCAGTGTTGGGCTTCCACGGGCAGGAGTTCGTTCGCAATGGTGACATGTCCTGGAAAAGGGTGGCTGAAACGCTTGGTGTTGACGTAGAAGACGATCATACATGCCCAGAGCACACCTGCATCACTCGCTGGGACAATCACTGAAAACCTCGAGGGACGGTCAAGACGCGGCAGAGGAACAAGATCGACGACGATTACGAATATACTTTCATATAAGCGGCACTACTCTGAACTATATACTTGGCCAGATGAGCGGGATTTGGCGGGTGCCGTTTGATTAATGGATGTCCAGATGGGCCTTGTCGTCCAAGTCAAAAGATATCTGAGCAACTCCTTTTCCCTAGATTAATATACGTATAGCCGGGCACCCATGACAATCATTTCACCAACGCCGAATGATGTACGAGGGATTGGCGATCTCGAAAATCAAGAACAGGGTCCCAGGAGAGCCGAGGGTGACTTTGAGCACAGCTTGAGACAGACCTGGAGGCTACAGAGTCGTCCTGAAACAAGCTCGGGTCATGAAGGTGGCAGTGCAGTGCTCGGCAATGTCCTCCGTACTAGCTGGAGATTTGCTTCAGTAGGCACGCGAACTGTTCTTCTGGGCACGATATACAGAAGGACTTAGGTACAACATTCGACATGGACGGTCTATGCGGCTTCTCCAGCGGTTTCGTCCTTGGTTATCGAGCGGCAATCCTGAGTGTTGGACACAAGAAATCCAACCCCGGTTTTGTCGAGGTTGGAAGCGGAATTGCGAAAAAGTGAACATCGTTGGTTGCATGCCCGCATTGAGCAAAGCAAGCTTAACATGCCCCTTGTGCGCAATTCGAAACATGGCCAATCGAGCCCCACGGCGAGACGGAAGTGGGAAGATCCAAGGAGCCTCATCTGCAAGTGGTTTCCAGGTGGAGACCTCTGGGCATGGAAGAAGAGGCTTTTAAGTGGTTGGGTCCGGGGTGGAGCGGTACCTAATAAAGACGAAACAGGGAACCCAACAGGGGCTGGGTGGGCATCAATGGAGGCGCACCCCCGCCACAGCACAGGCGCGACAGGGGCCAACGGACAATTCATCAACTCAATGGAGAATCGCCCGTGTCAATACTTCCTGCCTCTTCAGCTTGTGCGATCTTGCATCTTGCATTTTTTCTGGTTTCCCTGCCCTTCACCTTCTTCCCCCTCTTTATTCATCACAAAAAGAAAGAGCCGTCACCACTTCGTTTGGGTGTCGCTCCTCCTTCGCTACCTCCTACTCACTTCTAATAACTCAAGTGTCCTTCTGTTGGGAAATTCCTCACTCTCTTGGATCCCAAACTTCAGTTATTTTTCTTCTACGGAATTCAAAAACCATTTCTTCGGCCCCCTTTGGTTGAAACCCTCCCAGGAACGGACTCGGAAGAGGGTGCTTCTTATCAAACGTTGTCGAGTCACCAACTATCATCATGCGTACTTCAACTTTGGCCACCCTCGCTTTGGGCGCAGGTGCTGCTTCCGCAGCGTCTGTCAAAAGGCAAAGCAGTCTGCCCACCGTATCGGTGAAGGGAAATGGTACGTGCACGTGTGTCCCCTTCTGTCTTTTAATCTGACTGACAGCGGTGAAGCCTTCTTTGCGGGCAATGACCGATTTTACATTCGTGGTGTCGACTATCAACCTGGCGGTTCCTCTGACGTGGCAGATCCCATCGCCGACGAGAACGGGTGCCAGAGAGACATTCCTGAATTCAAAAAGCTGGGCATCAACGCTATCCGAGTCTATACTGTTGATAATACCGCATCTCATGACGCATGCATGAATGCTCTGGCGGATGCTGGCATCTACCTTATCTTGGACGTCAACACCCCCAAGTACTCGCTGAACCGAGCCGACCCTGGCCCATCCTACAATGATGTGTATCTTCAGAGCATCTTTGCCACGATTGACGCCTTCCAAGGCTATAGCAACACCTTGGCTTTCTTCTCTGGGAATGAAGTCATCAACGACCCTGAGACCTCCGCGGCTGCGCCATATGTCAAGGCTGTCACTCGTGACATCAGACAGTACATCCGCAACCGGGGCTACAGAACAATTCCTGTGGGCTACTCTGCCGCTGATGTGGCCGAAAACCGTCTGGAAATGGCAGAATACATGAACTGTGGCACGGACGATGAACGCTCGGATTTCTTTGCTTTCAACGACTACTCCTGGTGTGATCCTTCGTCCTTCACCATCTCAGGCTGGGACCAAAAGGTCAAGAACTTTACCGGCTATGGTATTCCCATCTTTCTCTCTGAATATGGTTGCAACACCAACACTCGGGACTTCGGTGAAGTTGTGGCTCTCTACAGCGACCAGATGACCCCTGTTTACTCTGGAGGTTTGGTGTACGAATATTCTCAGGAGCCGAGCAACTACGGCCTTGTTGAAATCAATGGCGACTCTGTGTCTGAGTTGCCCGATTTCGGTGTGCTCCAAAAACAATACGCCAACACTCCCAATCCGCAAGGTGATGGCGGCTATAACTCGACCGGTGGTGCATCTGGCTGCCCTGCTTACTCGTCGCCCAACTGGCTTGTCAAGGATGATTCTCTTCCTGCCATCCCTGACGGTGCGAAGAAGTATATGACTGAAGGCGCCGGCACTGGACCCGGTCTTTCTGGTCCTGGCTCCCAGAATGCCGGTGGTGCTTCTACTGGAACCGCCACCGCAGGCAGTGGGGCTCCTTCTCAAACTGGAAGCTCTGGGAGCACTGGCACCAGTAACGCGGCCGCTTCCGTGATGACTCCCGAGTGGTCAGTTGCTCCTTTGGTCTGCGGTGCTCTCGTGGCCATGTTCACACTCTTTGGCGCTACGTTGTTGTAAATCTGTCCAGTGATTGGGGAGACTCGATTTGTGAGGAAGGCGAGACGCACACAAAGTCGGCCGTCTCAGAAAAGGTTGTGGAAATGGATTGGCTTCTCTTTTGCATGTAAGTAACGGGCTGATTGTGTTGGACTGGTTCGGCGTATCAACAAGCCTTGAATATGAAATTTGGCATATCCCTGCAATAGAGTTGCGGGTTTTTGAAAACAGATACAGACGAAATAGCAAAATTAATCATCCAACAATCATACTTGGGTCCGGTCCTTTTGCGCAATGGTCATCCGCAGCGCCTCTTTTCCCTTTTGCATATCCCAGGGGCCATCGTACCATACATCGACGCCTCCCTTGACGACCAATTTGCCCTCGTCGGTGAACTGGACCCCCTCGTCCTTCAACAGCTTCAGTTTCATGGTCTGGTTGACTCCAGAAGGAGCCTTTTCCCAATCACCCTTGAATCCACCCACATATCCATCGCTCGCAATGACACGATGGCAGGGTACTTCTGGGGCATACGGGTTGTTGCGTAGCGCTCCACCCACGGCGCGGGGGCTAGAGTTCAGGGAGCGGGCGATAGAGGCGTATGTTGTTACACGGCCTGGAGGAATCAGGAGGAGGTGGGTGTAGACTTTCTTTTCGTTGATGTCGTGTTAAAGAAGGCAATACATTGGTCGTGGCAAGAACTCACCTCTTGGAATTCCGTGACAGTCATTTTCCGGATTGCAAAAGTCTTCCGAGCCGCGATATCTCTCTGTGTTTGAATGGGTTCAAAGAATCTCGTCTGGAGTTATGTGCGTAGTCTGAGTGCGGCAACGGATGTTCGCATAGCGTTCTTTCGACCGAGGTTGCGCCTACAGGTACATATTTATATCTGCGCCTGGCCAATGCTACGCTTAATGGAAGTTTGGAGCATTTGCCAGGTTGAGGGGACTTCCTGTACCGTCCAGGAGGGGGCTATTGAGTCATTCTCCCGGACAAAGCTGAGCCACGGCCTATGAGAGAATCAAGGTGAGGTTCACACAGATGGCTTATGCGACTTACGGCATCTCCGGCAGCATGATTGGTCACATCGAGAGCAACGACTAAATGCGCGTATTCTGGAGCGAGTTCGAAAAAATGACCGTAAGCCGCTTCGCGTACGCCGCGCGGTGTCACGTGTCGATTCAGGACTAAGGGCCCCATCTGATGCGCGCTTCTGCTCCGAGGTATATACTGCGTTGTTGGTCCAAATACCCTGCCGGACCCAATTGCAGCTAACCCTCCAGATCAATCGCAGGCCAAAGAGCTCCGTGCATTGCCATCAACCCCGTTTTTGCTACCGTCGAGGAGATTCGTCATTCAAGATGACGGTCATAGAAACGGTAAAAGAGGCCGTCGGCCTGGGAGATGCTGTCGGTAAGCATGCTTTTATCTCTCATTAACCTCCTCGTCCTAGTACAACGAGAGATCCAGAATGAAAGCTAATTCAGCCATCACCCTCCTACAGTTCCAGCATCTAGACAAGCAATGTCCGAAGCCAAACTCCCCCTCGCCTACCGCGACAGCTGTGCACACCTTTTAATACCTCTCAATAAATGCCGGCACGAGACATGGTACTTGCCCTGGAAGTGTGAGGTGCGTTTTTGTCATCCGCTCAGCAACCCCCCATACGAAGGACAGTCATGAATGAGCGCTGAAACTACGGAGAATAATATATGCTGACTGGTGGGTTTGCCTCCGTTCTTCAACCAACAGAACGAGCGACATAGCTACGAGAAATGCCAGTATGAGGAGTTCAAGAAGAGGGTTGCGAAGATGGACGAAATCCGCGCAGCCAAGGCTGCTGCGGGCAAATAGAGGGAGTGATATGAGCACAACAAAACGCAAAAAGAAAAAAAGAATTCTGAAACTTGCAAAAAAGCTCGGTTGTATATATGGGAAAGAGTTCGCCGATGGTGGATTTCGAGGTTGTCTACAGGGGAGGGACAGCTCACACGATTGTGGTCGAGACCGACTTCCAGAGACTGTGGTATTGGGGGCATTTCAACGTGCTCTGGCAGGTACAATATGGGAAAGATCGATCTCACAGGAGGAAAGACAAGTTCCCCATACAAGACAAGCCACGGTGTCGCGAGAGATCGTATGCCATGGCCAACCGAAGAGCTTCCATATCACGTGATTGAACCTGCCTCGCCCCTCGGCTTTCGTGATGGAGAGGACACCTGCATGAAGTCTTTGCATCGCGATATATTTCTTGATATGGTGACATTGTATGCAGCCGGTCAACGTGAAGACCCCCACGCCATTCCCTTCCGCTCCGAAAGGATTGGCCCCAGCGACGCAAAATTGAACTGACGGGGCTCGCAGGAGTCGCAGTCTCTTTGGCGGATATCACCGGCGCCCAGCGGCATCTCCAAGAATGAGCCAAAACTTTTTATCTATTTGATCCCATTCTTGTCCCATATAGGCGCCGTGGTCGACATTGATGATGACTAATTGGAAATCCTTGCAGAATACGGGACCAGCACGACCTCCCTTCTTACTCCCTTCCAGGCCCTGCTCTCGTCATCCCGAATACACTTCCAATACTCCATGCCACGAGATCTCCCGGCTTCAGGCTGTAAATACGGGAATCGTCTCATTTGCCGTCTTCTTTCCATCCTCATACAGACGTTTTTCTTGCCCGGTTGAGCCCCACGGTCGAGGCTTTCGTTTCCAAAGACCCCCTAACCAATTTTTTTCGTCACTCCCACATTGCGGCTGTTTCCGCCCGAAGTTTGCCGTTTAGTCTCTGAAACAGCAAAAATTGCATAAGAAATCGTCACCACCAGTCGAGGGTCTGGCTCATCGTTCTATTCGGCAATCCGGGCCCTATCTCCATTCTTGAGGAAGGATCTTCTACATCCCCTGGCGGGAAAAAGAAGGGTCCACAAGTTCCCGATTGTTCTTCTCTGCTCGAAGTACATCATGTATCTTCCCTAGATGGCTTCGGAAGTGGCACCATCGCTCTGGCTGGTCACTACCAAGTCGAGCACTCTGGGTTGATCGTACCGTCTTTGAATCCCTCTTGATATTATTTTACACCGGTTTCTTCGTGGCAAAACTTTCCAAAAGTAGCCATTCTTACACTTGAACTATACTTCCCCCATCTTCAAGATGGGTCTTTTGTAGGTACCAAAGATCTTTGCACGGTCCTTTACCCCCCCCTGGCCACTTTTATTCACGGCATGCAGAGCGTTAGGGACGGCCTTGGATTGGCCAGATGCAAAAAAGGCAGCGAACCAGGTCCGGGAATGGGGTATCGAGGTAAGGAGACCCTGAAGTGCCCACAATGTGCTTCAATCCCAACTTCGACCTACTGACACCATCCAAGCAATTACTCGCAATATGGCGTAAGGCCAAGGGTAAAGAGCGTGATGCCCTCCTTTGGGGTGACGAGGTATGGTTCCGCCTTCGGCCGGATGTCCGTCCGTATTACTAAACGATCCATCCGCCCTCCTTCAGGTCGAGTACCTCGTTGTCGCAATTGATCGAGAACAGCAAAAGGTGCGGTTGTCGTTGTGCCAGGCGGATGTCCTCAAAGCTTTGGCGAGAGACGAGGCACTGTCGAAGAGAGATGCCGTGGTCCCTGATTTACAAGATGGTGTCGTGTGAGTAGTCCCAGCGTCCTCACTTGCTTCTTGTCCGATTCTTCATTGACCCGTGGCCTCAGTCGAAGTGGTGCCCTTCCAACTTTCCATCCCGAATTCGGCCGCTTTATGCTCGAAGCTACCCCTGGGAAGCCATGGGGGATCGGTTTCAAAGATTTACTCGACGTCGAGTCCGACATGAGGCTTCGGCGCCTCCTCGCCAAAAACCACATGGAACCTGACCAATTCCCAATCACATTGACAACGTTTCCTCGCCTCGGCCTGCCCGACTCTATCATGCCCAATTACCCTCCTTCCGGCCCAGCCTTGCGATCGCAGTTCGTGCCAGACGAGATCGCTAATCCCCACATTCGGTTCCCAACACTGGCTGCCAATATCCGGTCACGACGGGGCCGAAAAGTGGAAATCAATGTGCCCGTTTTCAAGGATAAAAACACCCCGTCTCCATTCAGCGATCCCACAGTCAATTACGACCTGCATAAATGGCCTGAGGACGACGACGTCCGCAAAGGCGCCGTGAAGCCTGACTGTGTCTACATGGATGCCATGGCTTTTGGGATGGGTAGCTGCTGCTTACAGATTACTTTTCAAGCGAAGAATATCCGTGAGGGTCGAACTCTGTACGACCAACTCTCTCCCCTAGGTCCAATCATGCTGGCGCTCACGGCGGCAACGCCGATATACAAAGGTTTCCTGGTCGACACGGACGTTCGATGGAACCAAATTTCCCGATCTGTCGACGACCGCACGGCGGAGGAACTTGGCGAGGTGCCCCTGAAAAACGATCGGTGGCGAATACCCAAATCCCGTTATGCGAGCAATAGCACGTACATCGCGCAAGACCCCCGCCTACGGCCCGAATACATGGACCCTCACCTCATCGTTAACGAAGAACTTAAACAGAAGTTGCTGGACGGAGGCATGGACGACCTGCTCGCTACGCATTTCGCGCACCTCTTCATACGCGACCCCATCGTCATTTTCTCCGAAGACCTGAAGGCCCTCGACCCGGAAGGCTCGAACCATTTCGAAAACATTCAGAGCACGAACTGGCAGCACATGCGGTTCAAGCCGCCGCCGCCGGACGCGGACATCGGCTGGCGCGTCGAGTTCCGGAGCATGGAGATCCAGATCACCGACTTTGAGAACGCGGCCTTCGCCATCTTCATCGTCCTCGTCACCCGGGCCATTTTGAGCTTCGACCTCAACCTATACATCCCGATCCCGCGGACGACGGAGAATATGGAGACGGCGCACGTCCGGGACGCGGTCATGAAGGAAAAGTTCTGGTTCAGAAAGGATCCGTTCCCCACGAGGAGTCCAAAACAATCGCCACGGTTGAACGGGGTCAGTGAGCCATCGTCAAGTGGGGAATCCACACCACCACCGGAGCAGGAGCAGCCGACCCTGAACGAGTCAGGCCATGCGGCAGCATCAGCAGGGTCTCTCGAATCAACATTCGGCCCGGTCGAGGAGGAATACACCCTGATGACGATCAACGAGGTGATCAACGGTGGCGGCTCGTGCGACAGCTTCCCCGGTCTGATCCCGCTGGTGGAGTCGTACCTCGACAGCGTGAACATCGACATCGACACGCGCTGCCACCTGGCCGTCTACCTGGACCTGATCCGCAAGCGGGCCAACGGCACGCTGTGGACGGCCGCGAAATGGATCCGCGAGTTCGTCCGCCGACACCCGGAGTACCAGGGCGACAGCGCCGTCGGCGAGAAGATCGTCTATGATCTCTTCGCCGCGGTGCGCGACGTCGAGGAGACCCAGGAGATGGGCAACGCCCGCAAGAAGGGGAGGGACAAGTTTGCCACCGGCTGGGAGATGCTCTCTGCCAAAGAGAGGGCGAGGGGAGTGGACGAGTGAGTGGGCAATTGGCGGTGACGTTGACATCGGCGCCGGCATTTCCGTGGCATTCTAACGTCGACATTCACCGTAACGCTCACATCAGCATTGACGTTGATATTAATAGAGGTATATACACATTCGCATTTACATTAGCATCAAGGCCGACATCAATACAACTGTCACCGAGTTGATATTCACATTGATGACCCAGCCACTTTTGAGCTGTGGCTGTGCAACCCTGAGCTGGACCTCTATCGCATCCCCCTTTGCGCGTTATTATTATCCGTGTCTGCTTCATTTTCAACGCTGCGACACATTCGACAAACTAAAGCTACAGATTTATGAGAATGTGCTTTAGTGTGCAATGAGCAAACACTTTCTCTTCCTCGCTAGCAGCACAGCCTGCCTGGATTCCGCCAGCGAATGAATCGAGCTTGCTCCGACGCTGAAAACGGGCGGAGAGCCAGCTTCAAGTTCAAGATGGCGCGAGCGGCCTCCCAACACGCAAACAGATGAGAGATCGATCCCAAGAGAGTGCGCCTAGACCAAGTTATCGTCGCTCGGGGCTTGTTTCATGCCTGCTCAAAGCTCTACACAGCGATATTTGGCTGGTAAGGCTATTGGTCGAACTGGATCAATTGCACATTGAAGGCAAGGCCGTATTAGAACCGTTCTTCCGGCACTTCAGATCTTTGTTTTTGGATAAGCCTTATGAGCAGGCCGGGCTTGCTGGTTGCTTGAATATCTTTGACCCAGCAATTCACGCTTTCTCGTCATTCTCCCCAACTTCCGCCACGACACTAATCGAGTTTTACAGCAATTCAGCCTGATCATTCACAAACCTGCTTAGGCTACTCAGCTGGTCCCGTCGTTAGCGCACTGAAAAGTCGATTCCAATCTCTATTGGCTCCAAGCTATTTGTCGATGTACAGTCCGGGCCAAAATGAAGTGCGCACAAAATCTCCCATCGGATGTGTTCAGCTCGGGCCAGATGTGTTTTGTCCGTGGTCGAAGACCGTCCAAGTCCCGGCACTGGCGATCTGCCGTAGTTACTGTCATGGAGAACTGGTGGATTTGGGAGCTCATCGGGCTGCTGGGTTCTGCCGCAGGGTTGGTGGCTATGCTGGCATTCTTGCTCAACTACGACGGCAACAAGCAGCCAAGCTGGAAACAATTATTACTCAATACTGACGTTGCCTTTCTCAGCACTCTTTCGAAACTACTTCTCTTCATCCCACTTACCTCTGCTATTGGCCAACTAAAGTGGATCTGGGTTTCCCAGGAGAAGCGAAGCGTGGCAGATTTGAGTGTCTTCGACGCCGCAAGCAGAGGGCTAATCGGCTCAATCCAGCTGCTTTGGTTAACCAGAGGCCTGTGAGTTCTATGACGAAATACATTCCCGCTTGCCTTGAGTGATGATGTCGTGGGCTAATCAGTTCCGTTCTCAGGCACCTGGCTGCCTGGGGTGCAATTGTGACAATCCTGGCGGCACTTGGGTTTGAGCCCTTTAACCAGAACCTGATTCATTACTACCATAATGTCGAAGAGCCATTGCAAGTAGCTTACCTGGCGAATTCTTCGTCCTATGATAGTGTTGCGCCCTATCTGGGATCGGACTGTGAGTTTATGCCTCGGTGTCTGGTATGCTGACACGCTAATCGGCACCGTGCAGATACTCCAATTGACTCTGTTCTGAAAGCGAACGTTTGTAATTCAATCCTCAATCCAAATGCACGCCAGTCTTGGGGCGTCCCGCAATACGCCTGCGGCTCAGGAAACTGCACCTGGGACCCCGTGACATCTCTTGAAGCCAGGTCACTCTGTACGGACGTTACCGAGCATCTGCGGAAGCAATGCCACTGGTACGACGGGGTTACGAGTTGCACCTTGTCCATTCCGGATGGAGTATCTCTTTGGTACCAAATCAGCACGAGCGACAACGATTGGGAACCACAAGCCTTGGTGCTTTCTGAGTCTTTGACAAATCTAGTCTACAAGAATGCTACCAGCAGCGACAAGTATAACTCTCCGAGCCTTGCCACCTGGCAATCCGTCATGGCACTGGGCCCGATTTCAATTTGGGCGGCGCAACAATGTCCATCACCAACGGCACAAAATGGATAGCGACCGAGTGCTCGCTGGAGATATATGTCCGCTGCGTAAATGCTTCCGTACGTAACTCTGTCTACTGCGAGACCACGCTAGAAACTTGGTCGGATACAGCATTGCCGGATGTCGCACCTGACGGCGTCTTCCTTCGTTTTATCGTCCCCGAAAATCGCAGCCTCGGCGTGTTAGAAGGTGATGAGTTCTTTTAGGGTTGGGATGCGTGGAACTCGATATATTACGAGCTGCTGCCCATGTTGAATGGAATTGTGTCGGGATTTCTCGTTCTCGAAGCCCTGGAGTGAGCACCATGTCGTTTGTGGCAAGCGCTCAACGCATTCAGGCGAAGCTGGTAGTTGAGCGAACGAAGGTAGGCTTGTTTGACGTGACGTGATGATCCAGGAGAGACTCGAACGCAGAAGTGAGATAATGAGTACAGCGACTCCAACACGGGCGACCTCGGGAAAACGGTGAAGACATTGGTCAAGCACCAAGGCTGCCTATGACCTCGACGCCTATGAGCAACGAGGCAGGAGGAAGTGTGCTTAAGTAGCTCAACTGAGGCAGTGCGCTACGGGGTTCAAGACGGCCAGTATTGTCCAGATACCCAGCTACCCGCCAGGGGATCGGCGACCTCTAAGACGTGTTCAACGGGTCTACGAGACTAAGGAGGGCATCAGCAACAGACGCACAACATCGGGGAGTGAAGAAAGCACCGAGCTAGTTAGGAATTGGGAAGAATTCAACACCGGATCCGGCCGTCTTGAAAAACGAACCTCACATTCCATGGTCGCAATGTACGGTGTTGTGATCTCGGGTTATCATGGCTACTGTCAGTGGGTTATTAGTTGTTGGCTCACGCTTCTTCTCACGTTTCCCTCCACCTAAGCGTGCATCGTGAAGTGCAAGTGGATGGAAAACAAGCTTAGTTTTGTCGTTTCATTCTTTGATACACAGAGAGCATGAGGCGAAGTGAAAAATGAGCAACTCCGGCAGCCTTGCTCACTCTCACAACAAAGGCTCGCGGCAAGAGCAAGGCATGGTCGAGTATTCCGCTCCATTGTCGCGTCCTCGACCTGCGACGCGTCTCACCCAAGGGCAAGCTGGTCAACCTGCGCCGCTCACCCCACAGGAATCTGAAGAGATTCAACAAGATGACATCCTCCGGGCCTCCTGCTGGTTCGGCTTCGAACTGAGCATCACGCATCGGCCGCCTCTCTCGAAGCCTCTGCAGCTTTCGCTACTTGGCAGCATCCACCGCGATACGATATGTCAGGCCCTGGTTCTACGCAGCCTCGATGAAGAAGTCGCCACGGAATACCTGGACGATTTAAACAGTCAGCGACAACTCTGCTTCACACCCACTAGGGCCCCGGATATTCCACCTCGATATCCGTTTCTCGTCATCCAAGGAAAAGGCATATTCGGCGGGAAAGCCAATGGCCTCGGCACACTACCAAACTTCTCGAGCCGGCTGCTACATGGTCAACTACCAACAACAACAACTCATGAAGGCGTTGAGAAACAGCTAGTTCGTTCCTGGAGAAAATGGTAAAACGCCGCGTGTCTTCATGTCGGCCGATGGAGACACCCTTGACCTCTGGGTTCACTATTTCCAATATCGGTACAAAGATGAACCGAATTCGAACTAGAGCCCTGAATGAGTTGGTGGACCTCTTTCTGAAGTTGATGTTGTGACCTGACACTGAACAGCTCGAGAGAAAAGCCAATTCTCATCTATCAGAGATACAACAACGATGACTACCCATGGTCCTTATGCATATCGTGTGCCATGGCCTGTGGCTTGTGGCCTCTGGCTTGTGGCCTCAATCTGCAGAAACGTCGTCATGGCGGCCGCCGGCACAGCTATTTGAATAGGTCCTGAGATGTCGGGGGTACGCGTGCGTGCTTGGTCGAAGGGACATATACACCAGACACTCTTCGATCGTCGCGCTCGGCGTTTGTCCGTCTCAATGCGTCGGCTGGAGCCCTCTGTGTCCAGTGTGATCTGATTTTATTTGAATTGGTTGGATGGCATCAATAAAGATATCCTTGACAAATTGCGCTCGTCCCTGCTACTCGACCTGATATCCCACGATCTTCTCCTCCATACTCCCGCTTATCCTCTGCAATGGAGGCCATTTCGATTGAATTCTCCTCGCCACGCGCGTCGTCGCGTGTGCCGACCACGCTGAACACGTCGTCGGCTTCATCGCCCTTCTCGCGCCACACCGGGCTCGTGGCTGGAATGGGCTTGATCCAACACAGGAGATAGTAGACGATTGACGAGACGACAAACCCGGCGAAGAAGTTTACTCTGTAGATATAGTTCGCCCCGATGGGCACCTTTTCGGGAGGGAATTTTGTTAGTAGTTCCTTGTTTTTTTTGGTTTTGTGGAGATGGTGGTTGGAACGTACTTTGGCCCCGACCGCGCCGGCGAAACCAACAACATTGATAAGAACCCCGCAAATGTAAGAGGTATATGCCCTCCATGATACGCCGAAATGATAGTAATATGGCGAGCCCTCTCGGGCCGAGTACAGATCCTTCAACGAATAATAACCCTTTCGCACGAAATAGTAATCACAGATGATTACGCCGGCAATGGACGACAGGAAGACGCTGAACGCTGACAGATATGTCGTGAAATTGTTCGAGGTTTTCAACAAGTTCCAGGGACTGGTCGCACCGTTAGCAATCTCAAGGGTTGGCTCTGGTCAAGGACGGAATCTCGAGAAACAAGGTTCCCTCAACCTTGCTACAATTCGAGGTCAACGCTTACCACATGCAGAGGCCGATAATTGCACAGATGTATCCTCCTCGGCGGATGTTGAGGTATCGAGGTAGCAAGGCTGTCATGTCCGTCCCTGCTGAAACGCTGTTGGCTGCAATGTTCGTTCCAAGCTGGGCGAGTGCGAACGCAGCCGCAATGACGAAGACGCCGAATCTGTCAGCACGCGTGGCATCATCCCACAGGAATTGCGAGAGAAGATCCAAAGGATTCCAGATGGCCGTGCCGTAGATGACTTTCGACGAAGACGACACAATGATGCCCACGAAAGAGGTTACAACGAACCCAATGGGGATGGTGAAAAGCTGCGTCCACAGAGCATCTCGCGGTTTTCTGGCGAAACGGGAGAAATCGGGGTCATTGACAATCAAGGTGGCAAAGTTGGCAATAGAACTCATGATGCCAACCATCCAACCTCAGGCAAGCGGAGAACCTGAGGCCGTCGCCGGCTCTTTCACGATCGGGCCGATGCCATGTGCACGGCCAATTGCCCAGCCAAAAAGCGCGAGCGCCGCGAACGGGACGAAGCAAGACTTGACCATGAAAAGATAGCGGATCTTGTGGACGGGAAACCAGAGGGCGGGAAGAGACGCAACCCAGAAGATGAAAAAGCCCACAAAGTCTCTTGTGTTGGTACCCGAGTTAGGGATGCCGTTGTGAAGCGTGTAGAAAGAGGGCGAGATGGATCGAATCATCAGAGTGATGCACTGACCACCGATCCAAGCCTGCACGCCGTACCAAATGCAGGCCATCGCTGCTCGATTGAAGACAGGCCACAGTGCCCCCCAGATGCCGAATGATGCACGGGAGACAACAGGAAAGGAGATGTGGTACACGGCTCCAATTCGTCCGGTCGAGCAGACGAACATGGCGGAGATGGAGTACCCGATCAAAATACAGATCAATGCATGCCACCATGCGAGGCCGTAGGAAAGCGTGGTTGAAGCAATCATCCAGGTGTTGATGTTGAACGAGTCGGAAATCCAGAAGGCTGGAGAGCGCACGTCAGCGAGACCAAGACGTTACCGGAATACGCCTGCAGCCAATTCCATACCGATAAAGCTCCAAGCCGTCCACTGGCGTCGTTGTGGCTCGACGGGATTCAGGTCATGATTGATGAGCATCAACTGGGCGTTTGTGAGGCCAGGCTCCGATTCCGTCTGCAGCCTCGAGAGCAGGCGTGCGGCCGCGGATTTCGGAAATCTGGGCATGGTTGCTGTCGTCCTGAGCAGCGACCCGGCAGCAGGACTGTTCGACTGGGACAGCAGAGGTTCGGCAGCTTCCCAGTGCGACAGTCTCTGTGAAGGAGACGAGAAAGTTCCAAAATCGTCGAGCTCGATGACGGCATGTTGAGGGGGGGGAGACTTAGGAGAGCCCATGGGGAGTTGTATGGGAGATGGCGATGGGATGTGAAAAGCAAAATCCTATGCAGTGGCCAGTCAGGCCAGTCAGGCTCGTCAGGGCCAGTAGCGGCCGGGAGCTGAAGAAAATAGAACTAGGTTGATGTCATGTCTGGTAGAGCAATAGAGGTGCTTGAGCAATCTTGAGCAGTCTTGCGCAGTCGAGGGTAGCACGGTGGAGGTCAAGCGGTGTTGCCGACCAGCACGAATTTTCCACTTGAGGCGCATCCGACTCGGAGAAGCTGTTCTGAGACGATCATCTGTGCGAGCAGCGAAAAGCTTTTTAACGCGTGACAGAGAATGGAATGGATTTTTCGGTGGCGATCAATCGTCGCTGGTGAAAAGGGTTGCAGAAGAAGTCATAAGTACTCGGTCCAGGATTAAAGGTCCCCGCTAAATGGAGCTCAGCCTCGATGGGGGATTGAGGTCAAACAGTTCGAGGCCGCAAAAGTCCCGGGAAGTGACCCGTATCGAGGGTTATGCCGTTAGTTATATCCATAGGCTTTTCTCGGGGCCCATGTCCATTTATAAGTATCTATAGGCCGACATGTATGTTTTCCCACCCGTCCAAAACGCTTGCTTGTTAGTCACAAAGTGATTTGATGATCACTGTCCAAATCTAGTCCCAGAACGCCACCCGAAAGAGCTCCAAACTACCCGGCGTCCAACTTGACGTCCTGGAAAGCAGTTGTCAGCTCCAGGATCCTCTTGCTCAGCCGCGCATCGAAAAGAGCGTGGAAATGAACCTGGGGCTCATCCTTGGGTAAGTAGAACCTCGACAGGATATCCTTGCACACCTCCCACGTGTGCACTCCCATGAGCACCGTCTGTTCGTCAAAGCTTCGCGTAAACCACTTGTCTCCGCTCAGCGCACCGACGTAGAGGATCCAAAGCCTCAGTCGGGGGTCCAAGACTACCGAATCTAGACATGATCGCACGCGTCCTAGCATTTTAGGCCCGGCATTGTAGATCGAGGTGGTTCCGACAGGAATGTTCTCGAGAGCACTAACGAGTTTGAGAACGTAGGCGAGGGCAAGGCTTGCCGAGACATCGCGGCCATCGACGGCGTGGTTGATTGCCCGACCGATAAGCACCAGCGTCCGCATGCGCAGAAAATTCCAGACGCTAGGCCGGGGCGAAGGGTCGCTGGTAAAGAAGTCATAGAGGGCATCCAATTGCTGGAGTTCGATGAACAGATTGCGAAGCGCTCCTCGCAGACATGGGTCCGGACAGACATCCATGATGGGCAGAGGCACTTCAAAGGGGACCGTCACCCATCCGTCCATGGGGAACAGAGTGCGCGACAGCGACAGGGCGGCGCGGTGGATGTCCATCTGGAACACGCTGATCCATTTATACGGCACGATCGATGCTGGATTGTCTCGAATCTGGGACTCCATAATGACCTTCGCCATGCCAAGGTGGGCCAGCGCCTCATCACAGTTCTCACCCCAGATCTCGGCCACGAGGAAATGCATCAGGACATGCAGCGGCGGCTGGCCGAGTTCGCGAATGTAGGCCCGCAACGCATTAAGGCCCTGGTATCGATGTACGAGTGATAATCTGAGGTAAGAGGAATCGGGAGAAGATCGGGCCATGAGGGTCAAGGGCGTCAGCAGGAAGGCCAGAGCAGTCATGTTGTCACACAGCGAGTCGGACGCGAACGACGACCATGATGGAAGAATGTTGCCTTTGCCCTGGGCTTGGGCTTGCAGTCGAGATCCAGGGCCTTGGATGACGGGGAAGACACTGCGGCGCTCAAAGGCCATGATCTCGTTGACGCGGGCGCTGACATGGACAGGCGTGGAATTGAACGGATCAGAGTTGCCGCGAAACACAACAATGCTCTGGCCCGGTGGCGGCGGTGATTCCTCTCCCTGTTGCTCTTGCTCTTGCTCTTCCTCTTGCTCTTCCTCTTCTTCTGACTTGATACGGGTCCGGTCGTGATCCCGGGCGCCCTTGTCTGTCGGGGCATCTTGACCCTGTCCTCGACGGCTTGGTCCTCGCTGGCCGTGTGCTAGTCGCGGGATGATGACCGACTTCCTCATGGACCGGGCGGCCTCGACGCGCCGCCATTTGTGGTAGCCTGATTGGATGTGCGAGAAAACCTTGTGGCGATGTGGTGCGGCCTTGCGACTTTTGGCATCATGGTGGACCCAGAGCAGATCGCCCGAGTATGCCATGGCATGGCATGGTGGCAATAACAACAATAACCCAGGTAATAACAACCAGGCTTCGAAGCTGTGCCCGCGGGCCCAGGTCTAGATTTGGGCGCCGGCGCGTGGGCGGGGGGTGCATTAGATACCTAATAAGGTGCATCACGTTCAGGAGGTAATAATATCATTATTATTACGGCGAGAACCAAAAAGGTCAAATGCGGAAATTGGGCAGCGACTTCTCCAAACATATGTATTGGCAAGACTCTAGGGGAACCGACTACCACGCGCCAGCCTCTGACAGGAATCCCCTCTATCCTTGTCCTTCATCTTTGGTACCTCGATATTTTGGGTATAGGCCATCGCTGGTCGCTCCCATCTCGCTCATCCTAAGCCAGTTCTCGGCTTTAATGTGAACTTCTTCGAAATGCCAGAATTAATTTCCCTATCTGTGGTGTGAGGGACCAGCAGAACATCCAGCTTCTAAGGGAACCTGGCCCACAGGGAACCCTGTTTGTAGCGTGGTGGAGCCCCAAAGACAGACTGGATTAGGGACTGCCCCTCTCCGTCGCCGACTGACCAATAACTGGGCCGTCCGTCGCGCTGAGAATGGGAGTGCACTATTGGCATACGCTCTCCCGACTCCCTCGGTGCAGCGACTGTCTCGAGCGGCGACTCAGCATCATTACCAGCGGCACAACAGCAGAATTGAGGCGATGAGAGACGGAGGGAGACTCTCTTCTTTTCTCTTCATCTCTTCAAATTTGTTCCTTTTTGCTACCGCGATGTCAAACCCTCATATGGACGAAGGCGTCCAGGCGTGGCCGCGGAACGAAATAGAACCGTCGAGAAAGGTGATGTGAAAGTCGGTGAGTTGGTTGCTGAGTATTAGTTGAGAGCAGATTGAGTCGTGGCAATTGGTGCGCAGGTGGTCTCAACAAGGCAGCACGGTCGGCATGCGAGTTCAAAGGGATCTCTGAGCGATTTCAGCTCCGGCCTTCAACTTTGTCGACGCCCCAAGTCAAGAACAGACTTCTTCCGCTCTGTACAGCCGGCACGATGCCTGGCCCATCTCGCACATGTAACAAGACAGATACGTTAGTCTGCTCGGTCGTCAACCACACAACATGCGCAAAAGTTTGTTGACGAGTCTGGATAGAAGCCCCCTGGCCACCTTCTCCGCTTCCCCGTATTGACCCTCGCCTGCAGCTTGGTAATGCTGCGGCTGTTGTTGAGCATGTTGAGGATGCCAAGGTGGCTGCTGATAACCTGGATGTGTCTGGTAGCCGTCCCAGTTGCTCACATGCTGCATCTCGACGGGGCTGCCGTCCAGCTTGATGTAGATTCTGCCTTCGTTCGACTCGGTGTGGTATTGCAAACCCAGCTCTCGACAGATTTGCTCGACACGGGGCTTGAGTTTCTGCACATGGTCAGGAGAATGGTTACCCCTCCCGACCACTACGTGAAGATGTGTTTGGCCATGGCTTTGCGCATATCGAATCCTCTCTTCGAGAATCTCCTCTGCCTCATCCACATACAGTCCATGCAAGTCGATCGTGTCGGCAGGAACTCGGCCGTCGGCGTTGTTTTCGCGAAAGATGAACTCGGAGGCCTGCTTGTTGTACATTTCCATTTTGGCCCCATGCTCCTTGCCTTCCTGCGACAGCGCATGCGCAGCGGCTCCGTCGCCGTTTGCGTATGCCTCTTGGGATCTTTGAAGACAGGCAGAGCGTTTGGAGGCCTCCTGGCGTGCCAGATTCCGTAACCGGTCGTACTCTTCTTCGGCGGCTTGGGACTGATTGTGATTGAAGGCTACAAATCGAACACCAAACAAGTCAGTCAGTGGGTCTTTGCGCACCGGCCAATATATCGGACAGCTAGCCCTAGGTTGGACAAAAGTTGCGACCTACGTCTCGCCCCTACGCGGGTTGCGTGCTGTGTTGACATTTCATGCGACATCCTTCCTGCTAGTCGCTGTCTCGGTTCAACAACCTCGTTAAATGTCGAGAGAGCGAGAGGTGCGAGGTGGTCGCAGGCGAAATCAGGATAAGAGATTTGTAGAAAATGTCACCCGCTGGCTTCTTTTGAGGAGATATATCACCACCACATCAAGGTCAATTGAGATTTGTCTTCGCGAAGGCTCAAGTAGATGGGAATCTCGGAGGAGCTGGAAGGTGGAGGCGAGGATGGTGAGCAAGCGAGATCTGGCTGCTAGTGCTTAGTCATCCTTGAGACAACTCCGCAGTTCTAATACTCCTCCGTAATGTACATCGTATAAAACACAAGTGGAACGAAGCTGGGTCAATGGCAATGGGACGCCCATCATTGTTTTTCCTTTACGCATTGACTGCTCTCGCAAACCATCATCCCTTCAATACCAGCAGAATCGGCAGGCCCGCCAGATCATGAGGCCGCCAATTTGCTCTCGTAGCAGTTCGCCAACTCGCGCAGGATGTATCCCATCCGAGGGGTCAAGCCCCATACCCAGGTATCATCGTAGAATCCGGCCCAGTATCTAGCCAGCTTAGCCGCCAGGGACGAGCCCCCCTCAACGTCGAACCCGTCCTCCAGCTCCGACAGCAGGTTTCTGATGGCCTGCATGGTCTGGGTCTCCAGCTCGCTGATCGACCCACCACCGCTTGGCCGTGTCTCCACTTCTATTGCATGCACCCATTTCGTGACCAGCAATGCTGTGTGCCGGAGTCAGTGCCAGCATCAAGACATACGGCTATTGTCAACTGAACTTACCCACCTCCCACCCCGCCAACGCGTGTCCGACCGCCCAGGTCAAGGCTGCCGTCTTCTTGATGAGCATAGTTCCCGCTTTGTACGGTATCAACATGCCCTCGAATGCCCGGCTGACCGCTCTTGCGACGAGGTTGCCTCGGTTTTGCGGCAGCGCGATAAAATCCTCAATAGAAGCTATAAATTCTTCCTGGCTTTCCTTGAGCAGCATCATCGAATCGGCAGCGCTATGTCCTGTAAATGCCCGACAATAGCTGACCCGCAACAGCGCCAGGCAGTTGAAAAAGAGCGGTGTTTCGGCCTCCGTCCAAGGATAGTCCGCGTCAGAACTGGCCTGGGTGATCAAAGCCCGGCATCTTGAGAGGGCAGCCTCCGTTTGGGCAAGGGTCTGGGACTTTTGTGTTTCGTTCGACTGTCCCGGACTGGAGAACTCGCCGAAGAAATATGATCCTTGGGTGATGTGCCAGATGTGGATTGAAATGACGTTAATGACCACGCTGATCGCGAAGGGTGACCACTCCCAGCACTCTTGCGGCACCGTCTTGGTGGAATTTCCGTTCATGACCATCGAGATGGCCTGCTTGACATTGAGCGATGAGCACTGACCTTTTCGCATTGCCGCTTCGTGCCACTGCTCTTCCGTGAGGGCATCCCACAGAGATTGGTCACACGGCATCTCGATGAAACCATCCGAAACCACCGAATACCCGGGCGGGATCCCATATGTCATTGTCACCAGATTCCCAAACGCTATCTGGCCGTACAATAACCTGTGCACCAAGTCAGCGAGCGGTGTCTCTATGCAAGTTTCCTCACTGACCTCTTGACACTCTCCCTTTCGATCCATGCCCGCCAAGTCAACCACTCCCCCCCGCTTTTGCGAGGCTTTACAGTTGGGGCCAATTCACGAAAGTCCTGAGAACTTATCAGACACGTATTCCCTTTGGCTGGCTCGAGTTAGCTCACCACGAGAAAGTCACCGAGCCGTGTGATAGCCTTTGAAATTACTTCCGTGTCGCCGCTGAAGCAGCTGAGCATTGCAAGTAGCAATCGAGTTTGACCCTTCCACAGAGCTTCTGGCGTCGATTTTGGTGACTGAGGTCGTGGCTGAACCCACTCCTCAAGGAGCCGTGGCTTCTTGTGAAGATGCTCACCGCGGTCAAGCACCGCGGCAGCCAGAGCCTGGTCTGCTTTCAGATATAAAGAAGCAGCAATCTTTCTTTCCAGTCGATAAAGGGCGCCAGTGGCACATATGGCAAGAATGAGGGGTGATGGCGTGGTTTCAAAGTCCATTGTCTGAAGGTGGAAAATGGGCAGGTGGACGTGGAAGGCGTCGATGTAGGTTCTGATGCACTTCTGGAGTGCCGCTGCGCTGGGCAATCGGAAACTTATCAATTGCTCAGGGGCAAGTCTATTCGACAGGTCCTTCAGTAGATGAGCCCGCATTGATTCGGTGAAAGAAAGCCCCGGGGGTTTGGGGTATCTTGACTGAGGAACCTGGAAACTTGAAGGCCCCTCAATATCAACGCGCGGTGTTGTAAAAACTTGAGCTGAAGTCTCGTCCCATGAGATGGGGCATTCTTTGGAACGCGAGTTCGCATGACTGGCCGTTTCCCATGATTGATTGGAATCGTCAACTGAAGGTGTCTCGTGTGCGGTTGAAAGTTGATTTTGTTGGAAGCCGTAATCCTGCATCGAAGCCTGGCTCGAACCAGAAAAGTTTTCTAGAGGTGACCAGCCATCCGTGTTGCCGCCGAGAGGTGGTATTGCGAACGCCTCAAGTTGCTTTGGAGGCAAGCCTAAAAATGGATCGAAGAAGTCGAGAAATTCCAGGTCACCATCAAGGTCGGGGAGAGGCACTGAGCTTGGGAATGTTCGCATTTTCTCAAGATCAGAGACATCGACACTGAAGTCTGCCAAGTGAAGTCCCATCGAGGGCCGCGGCTCCGGAACAATACCGGGTTCCCCATTGAAATTTGATAGGAGCGATAGTTCAGATGCATTGCTGACCTGATTTACTACTCTCCGGTCTTGAGCAACTTGAAATTTTGGTGATTGAATGATATTCGACTTTGCGGATGGTTTGGAGGCTTGTTTGGAAGTCATGGATGCAGAACCCTTTGGTCGCCCGGTCGCCTGATTTGAAGAAATCGGAGGTATATCTTTTCGAAACTCTACAATTTCATCTTTTCCTTCACCTTTGGACGCGGAATGGCTTGACGGGATTTTCTTTGCTGATCTTTTTGTTAGAAACGATTCAACCAGGGCCAAGAGGTTGCGGA